GAGCATAGCATCTACCCCCCCCCCTTCAGTGCTCTTCTCTCTCTCTCTCTCTCTCCTTTTGAGCACTTGGAACTTACCGGTGACAACCACAAGGCCGCTGTCTGCATGTCAAACTTTGGGGCATAAAGCACAGTCTCCCCATACTCATCCTGGAGCTTCTGAAATATCTCTTTGTCCGATTTTCCAGCACTGATTTCATCCCGGATTAACTGCAGACAACGAAAACACAGATGCCAGGAGGAGGAGGTGATGTGCGTAAACGAACCGGCTTTCATTCACTTAAACCAGCTAATAACCCTCAACACCTATAAAGTAGAGTCCTTTACCCTCTAAACCAAATGGGCTATATGCCCTTATACGAAATGCAATCATCACCAGAGACTTATGCGATAAAATGCTCGGATTTAAAAGAAACCCAGATAAAGGATCGACCTTTCTTAGGAGAATGGCGATATCTGCCTGAGAGTCTTCAATGGACTGGCTTCCACACTCAGTGCACCGTACATTGTGGCTGATGTTTCTGGCCCGAGCTTCCACCACCTGAGCCTTCTTCGCTTTCTCATCTTTGGTATCCATTTCCTACTCGGAGTTCGCAAAACTAAACTGCACGAAGCGAAGGATTTCGAGGTTTTCAGTTTCACAGAGGCATTTCGCCGAACAGTTTATGGTCACGAGGTATTACCCTTGCCGACTACAAAGGGAGTTAAAGGAGCTAACTTGGGAGGAGATAGAGTTGAACGAAAACTGGGTTTCAAATATCAGATTGAAAAACTGGGACTGGATAAGCGGATTATAGTACCGGAGACGGAAGTTAAGGAACGACGCCGACCAGGAGAGCAGAAAATAAGATAAATACATGGCGAAAAGAAAACATTCCAATTGTAATTCTTAGGCTTCGTTTGGGCCTCAACCCAGCAAATTTCAATTCCAGTATTTGGGCCTTATTGGGCATACACGTGTAATTTGGTTAATAGTATTATCGGCCATAATAATAATAATCAAATGGTATTAAATTTTTTAAAACCAAAAAATCGAAAACCAATTCGAACATACGAAACCCAAAAAATTTAATGATAAAATTCAAATTCGAAATAGAATTTCGCTATAAGAAATAATGATTATAATTTTTTAAAGATCGAAATAATCAAATTATAATAAAATTAAGGCTAAAAATCCGGAATGTACAATACTAAAAAAAACTTCTATTAAACCAGATAAGGGAAAAAGGAAAAAAAAAGGGAGCGATCATAGTGTTTTATGATTTATCCACATTGATGGATGGTATGATTTATTGATTAATCTCTCCGTATTTCGACCTAATTAAGGATTAAAATTCTATAAGTTTGGGGAAAGAAAGAAGGCAATGGGAATTCATCAATGGCGGGCGGTGGGACTCCGGACGCCGCCTAGGGTTTCGAGGTAGGAAACCTTCTTGGCGGTGGCGGTGGTGGTGACGTGGAACTTCTCCTTGATCATCGGAGGATCGTCGGAGGAATCCTTCTTCGAATGATCCAAATCCCATCCCATGAAATCGGACAGCGTCGTCGTCATGTTCTCCGCCTCTACTTCGGGAGTGGCCGACCGGTCCGCCTCCATGACATCCTCGATTCTGGACAGAACAGTGTAGGCCAAGCTCTCCAGTATTCTCGAGTAGCTCTCCAGCACCGCCTGCCCCACGTCCTGTTCAAATTCACAACCACATTCTCTTTCTGTCAGTTTATTTATATCTGTGTATATATAGCTACAATGGCGGTGGTCTTGCCTGGTTGAACTGGATCTTGCTTATATCAAGCGCAGACTGAGGAATCCCAGGGAATCTCTGCTTCAGAATCAGCAGAATCGTCTCTGCTCTCTCTTCGAAGAGCTCCCTCTTCTCCAGGCTAACCCCCGATCCCCATGGCGGCGCCGATTTGCTGTCCTTCTGATTCATCTTCCTCTTCCATATTATTATCGACGCCTCTATCCTGTTCTTCATGTCCACCATCTTGTGCTCCGACGTCATGTCCATCGCGCTCAGGAACTGGTCCGGGTCGAAGAACTCCACCGTTATGTTCCTGTACAACTGATCCCCCAGACTCGCCCTCCCGTTCTGCCATCGCCACCATCACCACTCAACACCAACTCATTAACCCATTAATCGTATGCTTTTGTTTTCTTGTTCTTACCTTGGGGAGCGACTCTATATAGCTCTCCGGAATCTCCATCTCCGACAAAACCTGTGCGTTTATAGCCATGGCTGCCTTCAGAACCTGATTCACGCAGTCTTTCTGGTACTGCAAGAACCTTCTCGACGAATCTGATAGCCCTTCTTCAGGTACTTTCACCTTCGGGATCCACCATTTGTCGTCCTTTCTCTTCTCCGAATCTGCTGCGTCTTTCGAGACATAACTGAACTCGTTATGGTCCTTGAAGTTGTCCAGACAATCCTGCCCCAATATCATTAACAGAAGCTTCTCATATCTCTCTCTCTCTCTCGCTTTACCAAGTGAAAAAAAAACTTGGAAGAGTGTGTTCTTACGATGAGCATAGCATCTAGCTTCTTCAGTGCAGGGATGTTCATGTGAAGATCCGTACGTGCGCGTGTTGTCATTATCTGGTACAATCCAAGAAACCCATGAATGTGTTTGCTGTTTTTTTCTTTTATCAAACCCTAGAAAATGGTTACTGGTAATGATACTAACCTCCATGCTGCTTCCATCTTTGTTTTTCTGCTGGGAAGGAGCAAACTCAACAACGTAGTCAGTCACGGAGAGAAGCCAATCTATCTCCTTTCTCCATCTCCCTTTCCGCTCTGCCGGCATTGGCTCCAACCGTCGGTGCTCTCCAAACACAGAAGCTGTCCGCGTAAGAACGGCAGAAACCCAGTTCAGATTCCAACGACAACGTCCAAAGACAGTACCAGAGTTGGAAATTTTTCGCAGGACGTCTCATACCTGCGAGATTAGTGAATGCGTTTGACAAAGCTAGAGCTGATGAGACTCCTGTCCCCCCTCCAGACATGTCCTCTCCCAGAAGCAGTTTTGCGAACCGCTCCTTCATCTGCTCCATGTCTGAAGAAAACCCCACCAAACCAATAAGAGGTTATCAAAGATCTAATCTTTCAAATATAGGAGATGTTGTAGGGCCAACCCAATTGATTAAACTTTCTATTGAAATGATTTTCAATTGAATAGCATTACAGCAACAGATAGGTACCATTGTTAATTATTAGCATATTCCTGATACTGATCATTCTCAAATCAATCTTAGGGGGTTTCTGGTAAGATGGGTTCTCCATCAAAAATCATCTTTAGGGGTTTCTTGCAAGATACCTTGTGAAACAAGAAAAAAGAGGAAAGCCCTCAAGAAATGTCCTTTTGGTACGAGTTAAACTATGAACCCTACTATCTTAGGAGACACTAAAATCTCCTTAAATTTCTAGAAGGAACCAACCAGATATTAGGGTAAAACATAGAGACAGGCATGAGATGTAGAGTAAAACGGAAAAAAAGAAAAGAGGGAAAGAGAAGAAGAAACATGCCAGCAAGAAGCTGTTTTTCTCTGGCGAGAGCAGCGGCAAGAGCGGCTTCATCGGCGGCGGGGGAGGTCCTTGATGACCGCGATGGGGCGGCCTTATTGTTGTTTTCATTGTGTTCGGACAAGGCTCCTCCATTCCTGGAAGCGGCTGCGGCGGCTGCCTCCTCTAATCCTGTCTCTACGCTAAGACTCTTTCCATGTTTCCCTGTTTTATTGTTACTGTTGTTGTCGTTATTATTCGTCCATCTGAAGTTGAAGAGCCTCGTCCTGTAGCTTTCCTGTTCTTGTTCCAACGCACGAACCATTTCTTTTTCCAGATCAAACGAGAGACAAAAACACTAAAAGAAAAAGCAAAGATCTCTCGCGAGAAATGAAAAAAGATGGTTCGTGGAATAGAAGCAAGGGGATTAAGGAAAGGCAAAACACAATAACATAGCTCCCAAAACGATTTGAGGAACACGTTTTGGTTTCTATTGTTACAGTGTTTTGCAGAGAAAAATATGGAGATGGGTTTGTTTTTTTAAAATTTTCTTTTTAAATTTGGGTGAAAATGGATCGGGAGGAACGTGGGGTGCATGTTGTGAGAGAAGGAACACAGAGATTAACATTAAATAAATAGGATTAGATTTTGAGAATTAGAACAAGTTTGAAGTCAATGTTTGTGCTGTCTGAATATAGAACAGGTAAAGCACCTCTCTTTACCTAACTTAGATTCCTTGAAAATATAACGAAGAGAGAATCCACCGGGATCTCTTATAAACAGAAGAAAAATAAGTAAATAAATATTTATAAAAAAATAAGTAAATAAATAAATAAATAAATTCTCAAAAGGGAAATCATTTAATCATGTCATGATTAGGGGTGGACAAAATATCCGATCCCAAAATAACCGAACCGAATCCGATCGATATATATCCGAACCGAATTGAACGAATTAAAATAATATACCCGATTGGATATGAATATTTCAAACCCCAAATATCCGAATCTGAAATAATGTAAACCGAATAAACCGAACTCGAATTAATCGTAACTGAATATATCCATTTATATATCTATATATCATCAATTAATATGTAATATATTCTAAATCTAATTAGAAAAATAATATAATGATATTGTTTTATAACCATGGTATATAAAAAATGAAATGTGTATGTATTTTAATGTTATTTTTATAAGATAATTGTTTGAATTTTTTTTTATCTTTTTTTATTTGGATAATCCGAATTCGAACCGATTAAAAAAATATACCCGATTGAATATGAATATTTTAAATCCGAAATATCTAAGCCCGAAATAACCAAACCCGATTAAACTGAACCAGCCCGATCGGCCACCCATGAGTCATGACATAGTTGTCATCTTGTTGGGCTCGTGATGGGCTTACAAGGCCCAAAAGCCGCCATGAACAGCATTTCCTCGGAATTGACGAATTGGGCCCCTGGCTAGGTTTTCGTCGTTACAACGTGGCTTCCCTCCCAAAATACATTTCAATTCATGGCCATGGATAATCCGAAATCAATAACTAATAGAATCAAATTGTTATGAAAATCGAATAATTATAATGTTTTGTACCAAAAAATTGAATTCAGAAGACCAACCCATGGAGAATCTGGAAAAAAAATGTCATAGTTTTATTATCTACAGCAGAAAAGCATGGAAAATACAATTAGCAGATTACTATAAAAGAGCATACTAGAGGTTGACTTTTCTCGCCGCTTTTTCCCTGCACTTTAACTTTTTCTCGAGAACCAACCAGAGTCTTCTTCAAGTGAATAGCGGAGAGGAGGAAGAAGAAGCGCCTTTGAAGATGAGGAAGTTGAGTTTCGAGAGAGAAGTAGATGAAAGTTCCCTCAGAGTGAGTGAAAAAGCAACCGAACTTAGGTCCCACCACACACTGCCACCCACTCCCGTATCTCTCGTCGAACTCCTGCTTTCCCCGCCAATTTCATTTCGACAGCTCAATTATACGACAGATACATACATAAAGTATCAAACTTTGACTCTGATTTCCAATTCTGTGTACCACCCAGATCGAATTTCAACTGGTTATATATATATATGATACCTTTTTTATGTAAGCGGCAATGGACAAGCAGTCAAATACATCAAAGAGATCAAGAGCTTCAGAAGCAGTAGCCATGGCCTCCATCAGCATCTTACCTGGCATGTCCGTCTCTTCCACCATTGCCCTCCCTTCCAACATCTCTCTCCGTTTCGTTTCTCTCCCCCGCCCTCGAACTGTTTTGGTGCAAAGGGAAAGAGGCTCTTCTTTGTTTCTTATCTTCTCCAGAAGTGGAAGAGGTGAGTCATCCGAGATGAAATATTCAGACAGCGCCATGTGGGCCAGTGGGTCAACCCATGTTGTCTTTATGCATGAATCTTCCAACCATATGGCTCCACCCTAAAAAAGGATGTATCATATCTCTCTCTCCATATTCTCCTTTTGCTTCTTCCTACTTTCATATCCCATAATGCATAAAGTAAACCAAAAACAGTGACGTGAAAAAAAGACAAGTACTGAAAATATAGACCAGAAGGGGCAACGACACAACCCTTCAGTATATGACGTAGCCGCTTTGCCTGAAGTGAGTTGCGAGTGTAAGCAGATCTTAGCCCTTCACCTCTCAGCCCCCAAACTCACGTCCACTGGCAGCGCTTTCATCCACTATGCTTCCGGCAGGCATTGCCTTTTCTTGACAAAAGCGATACATACAAACAAATTCCAATAAATCAATTGCAACGACCAAAAGAAAGATACATGACAAAATATCGGAGCAAGTAGGATATTTATCAAAAGCGTGGCTGAGTAGGGACGGGCATTTTTTTTTAAAAAAAAAGAGGAATATTAAAAAAAAAAAAAAGCTCATGATGACTGAAAGACATTTTCCAGTAACAAAGCTTCATTTCCAAGCATGACATTCTCAACAAGAACATAGTACCATATAGAAAGAACAAAAACAATTTTCCACTCTCGTCCAAAAATCTAACAGAAGAGCTACATAGATGAGCAGAGAACAAATCCCAAATTGCTCCGAGGAATAATGTGCCATTGCCTTGCAATATCCGACTAATCAATTGCCTAGGCAGAAGCAGACACAGCCTTGCTCCTTGGAGTTGCCTGGGTGCCTGATTAAAAATTGAAGTGAGTTTCATCATATATCACCAGATCAAACTGCAAGCCCAGTCTCTCTATATATGGACACAACACTTTATATTGGATAAGAACTAGAGGTGGCTTATTCAGGTTTGCTTCGATTATATTCAGGTTTTAGAACATTTATAACCGATCATTTTTCTATTAAATTCGGTTTAGTTTGGTTCTATTCTATTTCGGGTTCGGCCTGGTTTTTATTGACAAAAATTTTTATTTTCTCAGAGAAATTTTTCGGTTTTTTCAGTTTTTTTTTATATTGGTTCAGTTCGATTCAGGTTTGGTTTTTTCACTTAAAGAGAAATCATAACCATTCAGTTTTTATATTGGATTCGATTATAGTTACGGTTACGGTTAGTAACGAAATTCACCACCCCCTTACCGAAAAGTAACCGTAACAATATGCAAATCAGATACTAATTACCTTCTCTAAAGCCGGTCTTGAACCTCCGAGGAACATGTCGGAGGTACCTCATTCTACCAGTTCCAGTGGTCTTTCTGCGTATGGCCTTCACGCTCCAGTTATCTGCACTCAAAAACACACATTCCAATCAACTCCAATTATATAATTCTGATTAGTATGAGACCATCCATACAAGGATTTTGTTAACCAGTAACAAGCAAGCAAACGGTTAAAAAACTAAACTGAATCTTGATAGATAATGCCACATTAACACGAATCAAGAATTCAAAATGTGAATAAATGCATAGAGGAAACATGCAAACAAACCAGCATATGGAAGACAACAGATTGGAACCTAACTCGCAAGGATTGGACCATTCAATGCCTAAATCCAAAGGATTAGATAATTGAATACATATCGAACAACACTGGAAAAAAATTCGTCTTTTCATAAACCCTAATCCACTTTCCAAACATAAAGGCAACCCAACAGACTTCTCACTTCACCGATCGCAATCTCAGATACAGAGCTAAAGTAAAATCAAATTCCCCAATTTTCTCAATATCTTACTCCATCCACAAACGCAAAGATCCAAACACACATGCGACGGTTCGTAGAGGGTAAGAAAGTGCGTACACGTCCTCTTGCGAGCGGCGGGAAAAGCACAGGCAGAGCAGCGGCTCTTCTGGATATGGAAGCTACGGCGGCCACACCTTACACAGAGCGTGTGGGTCTTGTTCCTCCTCTTACCGAAACTTCCAGTTCCCTTTCCCTGCCATTTTCACAAACAAACCCACCTTCCTTTACCTTGCCACCAGAATCATCCAACAGAACGATCAAACGTGTCAGATTTCAGAGTCTCACCATTGAACCAGATGCAGGAGAAACCCTCGCCGATGTAAGAGGAGAATTTTGGGTCTGAATGCGGCGCGGAGAAAATCGTCGTTCTACTGCCTAGGGTTTCTTCAGGGTTGAGTGAGCAAATGGAGCCGGAAGCGATCGCATGCGATCAGGCCCATTGATAAACGGTATGGCCCATCTACTCACTCCAACAACTATTGGGCTAGATTAGTCTTAAATGGGCCTAGACCTAATATTATCTTTTGGAATACTCATGGCCCTGCGTCCAAACACTCTCCAATTTCAGCAATCCCGCCAAAAAAAAAAAGTTTGGTCGTCGATTCGATTCATCACAATCCTTCGTTTTCGAACGATTGTCACAGCGATTTGAAGAATCAAACCTGTTTTCCCCTTCATTTGAAAAGATTTCCGGCGTTTCCGCACGATCCGTATCCGGACCGGATCGATGTCATGAAGTTGCTCAATTGTCTCCAGAGAAGGGAGGCGTCTCCATGCTCGTAAGCCCCATCGGTATACATATGGTCCGAGGAATGCGTGCTTGATTTCGAGCTTCTGGTTCTGATTATTTTTGTTTGTTAGTGCTCTGGATTCTGAATTGTTGAGTTATACCATTACCAGCTTTGAAGCGTTGTGCAGTTGTCTGGGGTTTGCTCTGAGGAAAAGATTTTGACGATGGAAGGCACTGGCAATGGCATTGAGCATGATCAATAATGCTTTGCAATGGTTTATTGATCGCAAGGCAAAGTAAAAACCAAGAGGGATAATAAGATCCGATAGGGTTGATGCAAATAATGGTCTGGTATGATCGGATGAGAGATTTCATGGTCAGCAAAATGAATGGAAGGATACGCCGAACTAAGGCGGAGATTGAGGAAACATGGAGATTGAGGATCTTGTTCAGCTTAGAAAACATACCCTACAGAGATAATTCATGGCCGGAGCCATGGAGATCGAGGAATGGGAACTTGTCCATACTATGATTCTTCCGAGTCAATCTCTTCTATCAAAGTCACCACGAGAATCTCTGGGCCTAAACTTGAAAGAATAACCTCGTCATAATAGATGAGGCTCACGATTTGGCTGGCATTCCCATCAGCATGCACAGTGCGAAAATAACATCGTCACAGGTAAATTTATTCCCTTGTCAGTGTTATCCGAAACTATTACTGTAAGAAGCGGCCTAAGGCATAAGGCAACATGTACGGAGGAATTCTACAGACCGAAAATATTGGTGAGGACTTAACTCCAGCAAACTGTGAAGATAGCGACAAGAAAGAAGGGGCTTTACTGGCAGATAAAGGGTGGGAATATCTCACATCTGCAGCCAAGCTGGAGAATCAAATGATACAATAGGGGACCATATATGAACTTGGTATAAATGTGATGATGATCTCTTACCTATAAACCCTCAAATCCAGACATCCTCTTTTAAACTCCGTCAAGAACAGGATCACACTGCTCTTCAACTACCACGAAAGACAGTGAATGATAACGAACGTTTGGTATCTTGGAGATTTAAGTACGAAATAAATATAGATGGAGCCTTATCCAAAGGGAGAGCAGAGTAAGCTACTAACAGGCAAAGCTTCTAACCCTTTTTTTTTTCGATTCAGTCTTTCACGGCGAAGACAACAACAACCTAAGAAGGGTAAGAGAACAATTGATAAATTTATGCCTTCAGGAAATTTCATTCGGGGTGTGGCTGAAGTCTTACACAAGGCCCTTGGAAACTTCAAGTCAATCTGCTTCAGAGATTACCAGAAGTTACGAAACCGTCAACTGTTCTTTCCCTTCTCCTGCAGTGGCCGCTGCCCAGAGGAACCCTTCTCCAGTATATATGATGAAGAGGAGAATGAGTTCCAAAAATCCGAGCAAGGCGACAAGAAAAACGCGCTGATGGAAGAGTCATCCACAGTACAAGAAACAAAATATGAAAGTCCTGTACCACAAAAGAAGAAAGGCCCACGTCTGAAAAAGAGAAAGGTTTTGCAAATATCCAACGAGGAAACAGAGAGAAGAGACGAGGCATTGGCGCAAAAGATGAAAGACTATAACATGATGGATATGAGAGACGACACGGACCATGCATTGGACATAAGAGAGGCGCTTCGTTGTTACTCAAGGATCAGAAGCCCTGTGTACCTTGACATTGTTGACAACTTCTTCACGGACATGTACCATGAATTCGCCGATCCACACACCTCTTGCAGTGACAACATCTTGATAAACAGGGCAGGGTCTTTCAGTTTCAGGCAGTAGCTATTCAAGCCCGTGTGTTCGTAAGCATCTCTTACATGTTAAATCTCTGCCGCACCCTTCTGTTTCCGTCTAATCGACTCCATCTCGTTGTATTGTTTCTTGCAAAACAGTAACAAACAGGCTAGACTTGGACTGGGAAGTGGCACATCAGCAAGCAACGAGAAGCAAAAGGGTAGAAGACAAAACAATCAATGATGTCATCAAACGGAGCGATTTTGTATCTATTTTCCCATTATATAGGATATTGTTTTCCTGAACTAAAATCTAGCTTCCCTTTATACTTTTTACCTCAAGCGTGAAGACAAAACCCTTTAGAAAACATATGGCATCTGTCATTTGGTCGGGACATATTATTTACTGTAGGATATATATACGAACACAAGAAGAGGAACTCTATATGAAGTTCTCCCGCGAATCAACCTATAACATAACTTGCCAACTCTTTGGGTGATACCAACTAATTGTAGAGACGATCGTTCATAAGGGCATAGACATGCCATGTCCTCTTCTGTAAGACGGAAATGAGATGAAAAAGGATTGAGGAACCTCAGCTGAGATGACCAATCCGCATTACCATTAACAATCAAAACAATCTTCTTCGTGCTCCAAAGAAAAGAAGAGTCACTTCTAATGCCTTCATCAAAAGGATACTATAATAAAATACCGCAGGGCAGTGAAACCGGGAAACAAAGGCTTCACCAAAGGACAACTTAAGCCAAACTCGATACAAAAACCAGCCAGCAGGTCCCACTCTCCTCTCCTGTTTGCCTCTCACAAGTACGTTTAGGCCGTACCTGAAGGAGGAGGACTAGTGTTTTGTCTGTCTGTCTCCATGCGTTCCCCAGATGAATCCTGTTCTTCGCTCTTTCCTTCTGTTGATGATTCCCCAGTAGTTGTGTTTGTGTTGGCATCATCACCTGTCTGGGCCGGCGGTGTCTCTGGGGTGGTTGGTTTCACCGGCTTTGGTTTCATCATTATGGGCCTGCAGAACCTGATATACATATATAGCCAAGCATTAGAACATCAACATCATCATAATCAGGTATATACAATTTACCTTTTTAGTTTTACTCGAGTTTTTTTTATTCAGTGTTATATGTAAAAATGATGTCGGAATCAGTAAAAGAAATAGTTAGGAAAACCGAAGAATCTAACCAACCAACCTGTCCAGAGCCTCAGCCTTCTGCCTAACATCAGCTGACAACAGAACCGGGGAGGTATACTTTGGAAGCATGTCTTGCTGCTGTTTCTTTTCCCGCATCCAGGCTTCCACTTCCACACACTCGTTCAGAACCTTAAGGCCAAACCAACAACGGGATTTACAGCCATCAGATAAAGAACCCGCATTTTTTATATGTAACCATTAAGAATCTTCAATGCAAAAACTTTAGGATAAACTAAGAGATCCATAAAGACGAAAAAATAACTTTTCTCATGTAATAGTGAGTCTTCAGGGCAGAGGAAAATTTGCACAATAGTCAGGTCAAAGAAGTCCTAAGGAACATGCGGGCCTTATGTGTACAAGTAAGACGCTGAGTAAAACTAGTTAGTCACCTTCTGCTTTTCAGCCAAGTCGATGTGGTCAAACTTGGGATCATTAGACATAGCCGCCTCTCTGTAGCTGTTAATGCCATAGACAAGCTGATCGATCACAGTACCTCTCTCCATGAATTCCTTGTATCGCACTTCCACAGGGTCACCGACCTGCAAAATGGATAAAATCAACAATATGTATGGTAGAACCCCACGTTTCAAACCATGAATTCAAGAGAACAAAGTAGGATAGATACCTTCTTGAGCTCCTCCAGCTTGGCAACATAAACACCTTTTGTCTCATCTTCTCCATCTTCATACAACCAATCTTCCACCTCCTGCAGCTTGGCCAAGAACGCTTCCCGATCTGAATCGGTGATATATTCCTGGTATTTATCACTAAGCTGAAGAGCAAATATGTGTTAGCTTAATCCCAGCACGTTACTCTGTATACGCATATAATCAACACAGAGGGGTCCTCACTTTGTTACGCATGTCATAAACATAAGCTTCAACAGCATTTTTGCGGTCTTTCGTCTCCTCCATAACTCTGTCTTGCAAAGCCATCTCAAATTCTTTCTCAACGGCCTTCTGCACATCCACTGACTGCAAAGCACCGTAAACCAATTCTGACACGGGGATGGTTGTTTTCTTCACCTTCTTCTTTGGGGCCTCGACCTGCACATGACATCGGCAGCAGAGACCCAATATTTAAGCATGCTATAGCAAAACCAGGCCCTGACTGAGTGACAATACCCATCAGAGCTTCTCACCAAATCCACAGTATACAACAGCAGGTGTCTTTATGATTTTCTCGCTATTAACCCATACAGAGATTCATGCAAGACCACTGGAGATCACAAGCGATCGAATTATTCCAAGCACTTCTGTTCATCCAGAGACTAACCTTCGTGTCAGTTTCAATATGCACAGGCTTACTGGCAGACTCCTGAACACCATTTTCAGCACCGGGTGCATCACCAGGCTCCTTAGCATCCTGCATGTTAACATCATGTTCGCCAGAAGCAGGAACAGTATCCACAGGAGCTTTATCAGTGTCCATCTTAGTAGCTTCTTCCGATTCTTTTGTGACAGGAACTTCAACTTCTTCCTCTTCCAGAAGCTGCAATAAGAAATGAACCATTCCATACAGCAAAGAAAATGTCATTACCCAATGAGTGAAAAAAAAGCGCAACACTGAATGATTATCTCTACAATTAGTTGTTAGAAACAACAGTTTCAGAAAATTTATTTGAAAACGTTCACAAAATTGACATTGGATGACCGCGATACTCCATACAAATAACAATAACTTACAGTTGCAGATTCAACCGAGACAATTCCGTGAAGGTTCAATCGCGCTTTCACTTTAAGCTTTGCCCTCTCAGCTTTGGCTGACTGGAAGGGACCAATCTACAAAAAGAGAGATCGGTTATGAAATAAAGAAAGAAAGAAAGAAAGAACAGAATGGTCAGCTGCATACCGTATATGTGCTGATTTTTGCAGGCGCCTGCAAGCCACTCACATCAGCATACTGCACATCAACAGAAAAGGTGCCAGACCGATAAAACGTAAGAGCCTTGACACTGGGAATGGGATTTCCCTTGGGGAAAACAACAGTGCTATGCTCATTCTCAGATCCTCCATTTTCAGTATCAGGAGATGATCCTTTCCACGATAATGCGATTGAGAAGGGGAAGCTCTCGTGAACCTTAAGGACAAAAGAAACATATTAGAGCCTTTTACATAACCTCGAAAGCACTAAGTTTTTGGAGTTACTCCTGAAGCACATACATGTTTTCATTACCTGGAACTCTCGAACTTTGAACGTCGGACTGAGAATTGCACACTGCAAGGCGCAGCCTCTTGCAACACACTCACTTGCATTCATTGTGCGTCTAGGCTCCTTACCAAAGAACTCGGTCAGGATTTTGATTATAGCTGGAACACGAGACCCAGAACCAACGACCTCAACCATGTGTACATTCTCAACCGTGAGGCCTGCATCAGAAAGGGCATTTTCTAGAGGCCTCTTAACACGCTCAAGGATCGGAATGCTGATCTGCTCAAACTCTTCTCTCTTTATGACACCCTTAACGTCTTTCTCATCCATCAAGCACTCAATATTCAAAGGTGCCACAGGATTTGCGCTTAGAACCTTTTTCAGCTTCTCACAGGTAGTACGGAGCCGGAGACAAGCCCTGGCATTCTGGAAAACATCAATCTTGTACTCCTCCTTGAACTTAGCAGCAAAGTGGTGAAAAAGAACTTCATCAAAATCTCTTCCACCCAACGAGCGATCGAAAGCATGAGACAAAACTTTAAGTTGTCCCTTCTTAAAGCCTGCAATGCACACTTGCATGCTTGCGTGTCCAATGTCGATGAACGCAACATTCAACAGGTCATTCTCTGGCAAATCTGTCTTGTAGATTCCATAGGCCAAAGCTGTGGCTGTTGTCTCATTAATCAAGTGCAACGGGTGCAATCCCGCAATTGTGGCAGCGTCCAGAACAGCCCTTCTCTGGAGATCGGTGAAATAAACAGGAATCCCAATACAGCAATCCACCACTGCTGCATTCAAGTTATTCTCAGCGATGCTTTTCAAATTTGACAACACCATTCCCATGACCTGAGTTGGGGTGAAAGTTCTCATCTCTCCCAAATACCGAGCGTGGATTAAAGGATACCCATCAGGACCTTCAGTGACAGTAAAAGGTAGAGACTTTAAATCCCTTTGCAGCTCGGGGTCAGAGAATTGGCGACCAATTAAGCGTTTGATTTGGGATACTGAACTTTTAGGGTTCATCATGGTTGAAGCAGCCCCGGCAGTTCCAATGAACCGCTGTTTATCACCAAAGCATACGACAGCCGGCGTCTCACGCTTCGACTCGTCATTGAGTACAACATCAATCCCTCTCTGCCTAGCAACAGCAACAATGCAATTCTCGTTCCCAAAATCAAACCCAACAACACTCATTTTGGCTTTGATATTTCCGTCAATAGCTTGGGCCCCTAAATATCTGAAAGTAGTCGCCATGAAACAATAATGAAGAAAATATTCTGAGCATGTGAAATCAACCATAACTAATTCATTAAGTTTAAAAAAACAAGAGGAATATTGACAAATACTCTGATACCCGAGAACTGCATTGTTGAAAAGCCATTGCATTATCATGAATCATACAAGTTTTGAGAGATAAAACTGATTTGACAACATCATTCCCATGACCTGAGTTGGGGTAAAAGTTCTCATCTCTCCCAAATACCTAGTATGAATCAAAGGATACCCATCAGGACCTTCACTGACAGTAAAAGGTAAAGACTTTAGATCCAGTTGCAGCTCGGGGTCGGAGAATTGGCGGCCAATTAAGCGTTTGATTTGGGATATTGAATTTTTCGGATTCATCATGGTCGAAGCAGCCCCTGCAGTCCCAATGAACCGCTGCTTATCACCAAAGCATACAATGGCTGGTGTCTCACGCTTTGACTCATCATTCAGTACAACATCGATCCCTCTTTGCCTTGCAACAGCGACAATGCAATTCTCGTTTCCAAAATCAAACCCGACAACACTCATTTTCGCTCTGATCTTTCCTCAAAAACAACTCAGGTCCCACAATATCTGAATGAAACCAACAAGAACCAAGAAAGAAGATCGTATCATGAGAAACCGAAGGAAGAAAATTTGACATTAACATCAAATTTTTAATACATATTACATACCAGAAGAGCAGTTAAACAAGAACCTCAAAAACACGAACTAAAGTACACGGGAACCACATTATCGAGAAGGCATTGCATTAAACATGGATCATACAGTTTTTGAGAGATTTGCGACTGATTTTTAGTCAACAAGTAAAGGAAGAAGATTTTGAACCAGAAATACAAGGTGAGTCTAAAATCTGTAGAAACTGGACTCATTGAGCAGACTGATCATTCACCCAGATCGCCCTAATACTAAAATCTGCCCGAACCCTGAGTCAAAATCCCAAAATAGAAGTTCGGACGAACGAGTTGGAACTCAAATCGCCTAGAAATTGACGGAAACGGGAAAGAGAAAGGGAAAAACTGTGAACTTTCTAGTAAAGCCAAATCTACGACGTGAAACGACGAATCCAGTGACAAGTTCCAGAGAAGACACGAAAATCAAGCAAACCCTGAAGAAACCTACGCGCCAATCAAGCACTCGGACAGTCAGATCATACCTCAAAATCGCAAATCACAGACGAATCTATGAATCAAAAAATGTCATGGATCTAGTAGAACTGAAACCAAATTATTTGAGGAAATTAAAGAGACAAAAGGCTTCGTAATCGTACCTGGGTCGGGGTTCGGGGAAGGGCTTTAGGGTTCTGGAAGCTTCTGCCGAAATCTACGAATGTTATCGATGTCGCGAAAAAATTGAACCACCGGAAAGGAGAGAAGAGGAAGTGGGGTTTTATCAAGGAGCAAATGAAACACCACAGGGTCAGTCTGGAACTGGAATTTTCTTCACCTGTTTTTTTTCGTGTGTGTGATTTACGAATTTAGATGCTTTTTATTCCATAAATTTTCCACAAAAAAAAAAATACTTAAATTTATTTTAATACAAATAGTTCAGAGTTTATATATATTCTCATAATCAGTTTTCGATCCATCTATACAGAAGAACTGCGATATTTGATTGAATCAAATAAAGAATAAGTGGTTTTATATGAAAAATAATCACTATCTATTATAAAAAAAATATAAAAAATAAAATAGTAGTAATTTGGATAATTTAACCGATAGAACGGAATATATAACGCATATTCTATCTCGAATTTGAATTTTAAATTGATGAGTGAAATGTAATTCCAATAATTCCGATTTCTTTCGATTACAGGATAACAAAATGTCCGGTTAAAAAAAATGAAGTGGTAGTAATACCATTATTTTTTTTTATTTGGTTTGTTTGTTCAATTTTCCGATTTTTTTTTTTGTGCCAATGAAATATCGTTTTATGTATGAACAATGCATCAAAACAATGGAAGACAACTTTTACAGTGAGTTGATATATTTGCTTTATAAAAATATAATTTTCTTTTAAAAACTACAATACATTTGCTTATTTTATTGACAACTTATTTAATATTTAATATTAAAGGTTGATAGAGCACACCATCTTGTTCCGTGCCTAAAGAAATCCATGCATTTTTTTTTTTTATTGTCGAGCCTTTTTATAAAAAAAAAAAAAAACCTAGGAAGGGCGCTTCATCCGCCTGCGGAGCCTGTCCCTGGCGATACGAGTGCTGAGAGATCGAATGAAGCCGTTCTTGGTGACGGTCGTCTTCTCCTTCTGACGAAGAACTATGACTAGATCGACGAAGGCGCTGAGTATATATCGGTGAGATTTCTTCTCGTTGAGGTCCAGGTAGCAGAAGAGCAGTTCCTCCATGAAGTCCCAATCCACGTCCCATTCCCTCGCGCCTAGCCTCGCCTCCACCATCTCCACCATCGATTGCCTGAAATCCTCCTGCGGATCCGGCGTGTACCTCAGCACCGCTATGCAGTTCTCCGGCAGCACCGCCGACGGCGTCGTCTCCCCCGATCTCCCTCCGTAACCGAACGCTGATGAGTTTGAGCTCGACGGAATGTCCTCCGTCATGGATGTTTTCGGTGCGGTGGTTGTGGTGGCGGTCATGCTCGGCCGTACCTCCTCCTTCATCGGCTCCGATCTCCAAGGTTCCGGTGAGTCGTACAACGCCGGCCCCCATGCGCGTCTGAATCTGTCGTCGTTGTCGTCATCATCACCATCGCTTTCCCCCAACTTCTTCTTCCTCCGGGCACTGTCGGTTACACCGTCGTCGTCGTCGTGGTCTCTGACGCAAAGGGATTTGAAATTCTCTTCGAGAAACCGATCGATGTCAGACAAAGTGGCGGCCTGGCCACCGTCATCTTCGTCCTCGTAATCTTTGCTTTCGCTCTTGCTCTTGCTTCCGCGCTTCCTTCTGTGCTTGCCGTTGCTAGAGAAGGAGAGAGACTTGGGATGCTTGCATCCAGAGAGGACCCAGTTCTTCGAGGAAGAGAAGGATCTAGACGACAAATGGATCTTCCCGGTCTCCTTCTTGATCTTGGAGAGGTAATCATGGAGAGATTTCTGCAACTGCTTCGTCATATTTTTTTTCCTTGTTTAAATGGTTGGATTCTGGACTCTGTAAGAAGCCCTTTTTATAAGGCACTGTTTGTGGCGGTGTGGTTAATGGAAAGAGAGATCTGTAACAGGTAACGTGTGGGGCAGAAGAAGGGAGACATTGGTAATAATGGAAATTCAATTCAATGGAATTAAAAAGAGGAAGAGGAAAGAGGAATCTTGTTTGTAAATGAATGCAAATTGGATAGGATTTCTGGCTAATTATGGAGATTCTTGAAAATCCTGGGGAGGTTCATTGGATGGGTCAATGAGAAATTTTCAGATTCTTCTGAAACTGCCAGTCTTTTTTTTTTTGCATTGTTTCTTTCTTTGTTTGGCAAAACTCGGGAAATATTTCCAAATATTAATAATGCTATCTTGGGAGTTTTTTTTCTTCTTCTGCTGTTTAATGTTATTTCCTTTAAGTTTCAGATTCTGCATTTAATACAGAGTTGAACTGACTACTGGATTGGAGCATTTATCCAGTTTTAGTTTATGAATCCTATTAAAGAAGTGTTGATTCAGACACAAGGGCATGAATATTAAAAAGAAAAAAGGAATTTGTTTATTACAATAGATTATTTCTTTTTATGTTGTCATTGCTGACATTTGTGCAGTAAAATAGGAGTGAAAAAATTAAATTCGACCACAGTGGGAGTCGAACCCACGACCTTTTGATCCGAAGTCAAACGCGCTAATCCACTGCGCTATGCGGTCTTTACTGTTCTATGTCTTCTTTATTTAATTATGTGGTGTGAAGCACAACGTTCCATTTTTCTTTTGGGAATCTCTTGGGAGAAGAAGCTGAATCGTATCTTGCGTAGAAGGATTTCCGGGAATAGCTTTTGCGATCTGGCTTCCGGTCATCTCCACGTCCCGCGGCTTTGGTTTATCCCTCTTGATCTTGCTTACACGCCTCGATTCTGCTGCCTCACGGCACTGTCAATTCTGCTGCTGCTCCCAGGTTTTGGGGTCGTTTTCTGTTTATGAATTGATTCTGGGAAACTATGCTTTGGATTGTTTCTGGGTATTATTATGAGAACTGTGTTCCTTGAAAGAACTGGCAATTAGGCTCCCCATTGAAGATTTGGGGACTTGTGGAGTTTCGTTTGCATCCTGGTTTAGTTTGATTTGCTACATTTCTTTGTTAACATTTTTAAGTGCGCTGAAATTTTACCATTTTGGTTTGGTTCTAGGTTTCGGTGTATGCTAAAGTATTGTCTCTGAGCATTCGAATGATTCCACATGCCCCACGATCGAACAATTAGGGTTTCCAGCTGAGGATTTGGGAATTGAGAGTTTTAGTCTCAATTAGGGCTGAACATTGGTTGCAGTCATGTTCTATGGGAAAGCCTTATGGGACCCTTGGCTTATAGTTGCCCAGATTGTCTGTCTTCAATGCTCATACTATCTCACTCTCGGAATCTTCATGATGGTTTTCCTCGGCGTTTGGGTTCCTCGGCTTAGTCTTGTCTACTTCTTCGACTATGCAACACTCACTCTATCAACCGTCTCGGGTTTGTGTGCCATCGCCTCGTTCTTTCTCAGTTCGTTGGCCGGGTTAGAACCAGTGCCCGACTTTCTTCTCAACCTCATGTCTACTTTTCTTCTTTCACTTCTTCTCCAAGGCTTGCAGCTTGTCGTTTGATGATTCCACTTTTGTTTTGTGGCAGGGCTGTATACATGGTTTTTCTGGTGGAACGAGCACGGAAATGCTTAGATTTCTCCGCAACTCTCTACATCATACATCTCTTGTTATGCATCATGTATGGAGGGTGGCCTTCTTCTATAACATGGTGGGCTGTGAACGGAACTGGACTCGGTGTCACGGCCTTGCTAGCCGAGTACTTGTGCTTTAAGCGCGAGCAACGAGAGATTCCTAGGGATAGATATCGAGAAAGTAAGGCGGTCGTTCTTTTAAAACTTCATATAATGCTTTGCCAATATTCATGAATATTGCCCTCTTCCATAAACTTCTAGTGCCTGTAATGCCATAACTATAATCTTTCTTGGTCTGGCTATGGGCATTTTGGTGCAGTGGAAACTGTAATGTTCTTTCCTATTCTTAGACTAAGTTCTAGTGCAGTGGCCATAGCTGCTTGTTCAGGCATTACTTTAACACTTGATTGATTGTCTGCCAGTTTTTTTTTTTTTTTTTTTTTTTTTAAGGTGTTTGATGTCTTTGGAACGGAATTGAAAGAGGTACCATCTCTGCCCGAAAATCTATCGGTTCTTAAGTTACACGACCCTATATGATGATTCTGCTGCACTTTCGGTCAATTTTTTTTGTTGTTAAAACACTTTTTTTTGTCACTAGCTATTAAACCCTCCCTCCCTCCTTCGAGTGACCAAATGTCGTGGTAATTTTTGTTGCGTGTGACGAGATTGCCATTAGTGATCATACGTGAAATTGGAAAACATATGATAGATACTATTGGACGAGTGAATGTTGTTGATATGATAATTTTTACAACCATAATAATAATTGAAAAAAATCGCAATTTTTTGTCGAAAATGAATTATTTTATCGTTTGAAAAAATTTCGAACTGAAACCGAATTCGAATCCGATATGAGTCGAATTTAATATAAACAATACGAATAAAGTCGAAAAATTGAAATATCGACCTTTTAGATTGAAAATTTTCTTTTTTGTGGCCTCTTTAGAATTGTGGCAAACCATTTTATTGGTACATGTAGCTGATGGAATTGTATGATGTCAGCCTGTTTGCCAGAGAAAACCGAACCAAGATCCAATCGGTTTAACGATTTTTGATAATATTAACCACGCCGTCTCTCGGGCACGGTTCGTCCGGTTATGATTTGCTCAATCAAATCAACTTTCATTTGCTAAACTCAGAAGTAAATTATTTTTGGTACGATGATGCAACAAAGGAATGTCGAAACGTTATCTCGACCGTTGATTCTACTCTCTTCTGATGGATGATCAACGGCTCCGGGCTAACTTGATGGGAAGACCGTCCTTTTACAGACACGGTTAACGGGTAACCGGTTTAAGGATCTGCTTTAAACGACACCGAATCAAGGAAACATTAGTACTAGTAGCGTCAGATTCAGATCCAGAAGAAATCCATCGTCGTCCATTCTAAACGCGCACTACAACCCTCGACTCAAACCCCTCCAAGCTCTGGTGTTCTCGTTAATCTACCAGCCCCTCCGCCATTACGATTTCCTTCTTCTTCTTCTTCTTCTTCTTCTTCTTCTTCTTCTTCTTCTTCTTCTTACTTTCTGATCTTCCCCACGATCAAGGACTCTAATTCGAACACGGGAGATAGGCCGATCCCCCGGGGAGAGCTTTCTTTGGACTTGCCAAGATGGTTAGTGATGCGATCTCTCTTCTTTTCGTTTAGATCTTGTCTTGAATCTACTTCGGTGTTGTTTCGACATCTCCTTTCTCGTCCGACACAAGATAGCGAACATGCTGTCGACAGTTACTTGGTCGTGAAATTCCAGTGGCTAGTATGGATAACAGTGGAAAAATTATATGGGCCAAACACAATGAGATACAGACTGTGAACATCAAAAGTATCAGTGCAGATGAGGTTTGGTTTCACGAGACGGATAGCGAACATGCTCTTCCGATCTTGAATTTTGCCTAGATGTCTAAATGCAAGTAACGGGGCTCTGATATTGCGGTTGGATCTAATCTTGGGTGCGGAATTCTGTTGGATCCTAGTTTCATAATTTTTTTTTCTCGTCTAGTGTCGTATTCCTTGTTCATCTTGGATCGTTGATCTGTGTTCTGACAATCTGTTGTGGGTCTCGGGATAATAAGGATATCATATGGAACATAAGGATCACCGAAGTGAGTTGTACAGCGATTTGTATATTTGATTTGATTGGCACTGACTAAATTTCCTTTCATTTTGTTTTTTTAATCCTTACAGCCTCTGAGACTCGAAATCAAGGTAACCACAAATTTTCCTTTTCTTCTCTAGATTTTATTTGATCCTCATTCGGTTAGTCCGCAATCCGCATGGGTTTGGGAATTTTGGAGTAATATGTTTAAATGTTTTGATCAGAGAAAATTTGCTCAGAGGTCGGAGAGGGTGAAATCTGTAGATCTCCATCCAACCGAACCATGGTAATGATTCTGGCGCTTCATATTTCATTACATACTTCTTAGTTTCGTGGTTACTTGGATTTCTAATGAATAACCTATTACAGGATTCTGGCGAGCTTGTATTCTGGAACAGTGTGTATCTGGAATTATCAGACACAGGTACGGTAAAAGTGGTCATCAGTTTGCTCTTTTTTGTTATTGATGTTGTTTCTAGTTCTTCTTCTGTCAAATACTTTTAACCCAAATTTGTCATATTTCTTGTCCAGGCGATGGTAAAATCTTTTGAGGTCACTGAATTGCCAGGTATGGTCGTCAGGCATCGTTTCTTTTTTCCGCATCTCTTTCTCATGTTTGCATCAACATTCTTTGGTCATGCATGTCTTGACAAAATGATTACTTGCTGTTGAAGTGTATGTCATGATTTTGCAGTTAGGTCAGCTAAGTTTATCGCACGCAAGCAATGGGTTGTGGCTGGAGCTGATGACATGTTTATTCGTGTCTACAACTACAACACTATGGACAAGATCAAAGTATTTGAGGCTCATACTGATTACATTAGGTGTGTGGCTGTCCATCCCACCCTTCCATATGTGCTGTCCTCATCGGATGACATGCTTATCAAGCTTTGGGATTGGGAGAAGGGTTGGGCATGCACTCAGATTTTTGAAGGCCATTCCCATTATGTCATGCAAGTGACCTTTAACCCCAAGGACACTAATACTTTTGCTAGTGCATCGCTTGACCGTACCATAAAGGTAAGAGCAATCTTTGACTTGTACATTTTCTCTGCAAGTATTTTTTTCAAAGTGAAAAGCTAATCTTTTTGTTTTCTGTGTATATGTCTGTCTGTATCTAGATATGGAACCTTGGTTCACCAGATCCAAATTTTACTTTGGATGCGCATCAGAAAGGGGTTAACTCTGTAGACTACTTTACTGGTGGGGATAAGCCATACCTTATCACCGGGTCTGATGATCATACTGCTAAGGTATGTTCTTAGTTGCTTTTTCTTTTTAAGTTTTCCATATATTTGTGTGGATGTATTGTCAGCACATAAACTTAGGTAGGTTTTCTATTATTGTTAATGAATTTTCTGGAAGTAGGTATGGGACTACCAAACAAAGAGTTGCGTTCAGACACTTGAAGGTCACACACACAATGTCTCTGCTGCATGTTTCCATCCAGAGCTTCCAATCATTATTACGGGCTCTGAGGATGGCACAGTCCGCATATGGCACTCCACCACTTACAGGTAACTCCCCTTGTTATAGGATTTATACTTGTGGTTTTGAATTTTCCAGATCTTTTAAGGGCCTTGGTCCTTCTCATTTGAATTCTATGTTTGACTAATTTTATGGCATGTAGGCTTGAGAACACGTTGAACTATGGCCTTGAGAGGGTTTGGGCTGTCGGATACACAAAAGGTTCTCGTCGGTAAGTTTCTGAAGAGTCATTCTTGATATTTGTATTCTTTATTTGTGAAGTTAAGCTGTACGCATCTTCTTTCGCGATTCCTTGTAATCATAATGTCAAAACTGACTTTTGTTTTGCTGTGCACTTCTTTGTAAAGTTCTTTTAGGTGCTGTTTATGAGTCCGAGAGGGCTTGATAAATGCAAACTTTGCTCACCTTTCTTGCTGATACCTGTCAATATTGAGTCTGATATTTTTCTTTTTCCTGTGTGTTGTGAATGTGCCATTTTCTAACAAATTAACAAGTTGCTGATACCATATAATTGTCCAGGGTGGTGATTGGGTACGATGAAGGGGCCATCATGGTGAAACTTGGTCGTGAAATTCCAGTGGCTAGTATGGATAACAGTGGAAAAATTATATGGGCCAAACACAATGAGATACAGACTGTGAACATCAAAAGTATCAGTGCAGATGAGGTTTGGTTTCACGAGACGGACCCTTCCCTGCTGTTTTCATGTTCAATGATACTTGTTAGTTGCTCTTTGGTTCATACACTGCTATGTTTGCCTTGTGGTTCCTTATAGGTCACTGATGGTGAGAGACTGCCTTTGGGTGTTAAAGAGTTAGGGACTTGTGATCTCTATCCTCAAGTAAGTGGTTTTTCTGATGTTTTCTTTTCTTTGCAGGTTTTCCAGTATTCTTGCTTGTATACAAAATCAGCTCATATGGTTTATTTTCTGTGAAATTCCTCTGTGTTGTTATTTGAAGTTTTATTGGTTATGTAATGTAACCCTAGCGCATAAATTTTTAATCGCTGGTTGTGCACTGTAGTAAGGCAGTTGCAGGTTTGCTTAGGCAGTTTGATAGATTACTGGTATCAGTAGGCCATTTGGCCTAGTTATGCTTGCTGGTTGTAGTTCTTGGATTGCTCGGGCAGTTTTCTAGATTGCTGGTAGTAGGCCATATGGTGGCATTCCTTAGGGGTGTGTTGACTGCTAGGAAGGAAAATAGGATGCTTGTCTGTATAAATTAGCATGAATTTAAACAACAGGTTTTGGAAAGAGAGTTTCTTTGGTTGAATTCGTTGTCATTCTTCCATTTATGACAGTTGGCCATGAGAAAAGCTTTACCCTGGATATGAATCATATCATACGATAAAAAGTCTCTAAGTTTGTTATTGCCTAGTTTTGTTTTTGTCCATTTGGTGTTATATATGTTCCTTAAGTCTGTTCTGCCTTTCAGAGCTTGAAGCACAACCCCAATGGTAGGTTTGTAGTTGTTTGTGGAGATGGTGAGTACATCATCTACACTGCCTTGGCGTGGAGAAATAGGTCATTTGGATCAGCACTGGAATTTGTTTGGTCGTCTGAGGGTGAATATGCCGTCAGGGAAAGCACATCAAAGATTAAGATCTTCAGCAAGAACTTCCTGGTCTGTAATTTCTTTTCCTGTGTCCCTTTTGTTATATATAGTTGTCAGACCCTGTGTTTTTTCCATGCTCGCCATTATGTTAATTCCATTGACTGAAACTGACAACTTGAGGTTAACAACATTCAGGAAAAGAGGACTGTGCGGCCTACTTTCTCGGCGGAGCACATTTTTGGTGGAACCTTATTGGCAATGTGCTCAAGTGATTTTATCTGTTTCTATGATTGGGCTGAATGTAGGTTGATTCGTCGGATTGATGTTACTGTCAAAGTAAGTGTTTGTATAGATGAAGTATATCCTTTAGTGTCCAATCAAAGTGTGGTTTCTGAAACGTTTTCTGTTCCAGGAGTATAAGATACTGATCCAGATCTTGACTCCAATCTTACGAGTGTAGTGATTTTGTTGTTTTCTGTAACATCACCCCTATTCATGGCTTGATCTTTTCTCTTAATTGATATGATATGTCTCAGAATCTTTACTGGGCTGACAGTGGTGATCTAGTTGCAATTGCCAGTGATTCATCATTCTACATCCTTAAGTACAATGTAAGTATAATTTTAAAGTTTGCTGGCATAACAGAATTTTAACAGAAATTCTTAGTTTTTCTTTGCCTATTTAAATTGGGTTTTGATTGTCTATTTATATTGTGCAGCGGGACGTTGTTTCCTCTTATTTAGATGGTGGACAACAAATGGATGAGGAAGGCATTGAGGATGCTTTTGAGCTTCTCCATGAAACCAATGAACGTGTTCGGACTGGTTTGTGGGTGGGAGATTGTTTTATTTACAACAACTCTTCATGGAGGCTTAATTACTGTGTTGGTGGCGAGGTATGGCCGATTATTCATTGTGTAAATGAAGCTTGTTTATGTTGCTTTTGGTGCATATGAGGTTCTATCTTTATTTACACTTCTGAAATTCTAGGTAACCACAATGTATCATTTGGACCGTCCCATGTACTTGTTGGGTTATTTAGCCAACCAAAGCCGGGTTTATTTGATTGACAAAGAGTTCAAGTAAGCAGATGTTTCGCCGTTACTGCTGTTGATCTATTTCATTGTTGTAAAAGCTTTCTAACTTTTTCTTTTCTCTTTTTTTAATCGATTTTGGTTGTTTACAGTGTTATTGGGTACACCTTGCTTCTAAGTTTGATTGAGTACAAGACTCTTGTGATGCGGGGAGACTTGGAGAAGGCCAATCAAGTATTACCTTCAATCCCCAAGGAGCATCATAACAGGTATATGTGTTCTTTGATGGTATGCTAGAGTATTCCAAACTTTAGCTGGATCTTTTCTTTAACTTTCCTTTACATACTGAGAGGGTTTCCTCCACCTATGATAGTTCAAGTTGCGTGGATAAAATTGGATTATGATTATCATATACATGATCTCACAGGTTACATCATAGCCTATATTGTTTTATTTTTAATGTCTCATTTATCTATCATCTGTATTTTCTGTTACAGTATCGTGTTTTCTTGCATTGGAAATTTGTCCTCATTTTATATTCCAAAATCATATTGATGCTTAACTTAGAAAATCTGCTCGTTGTCAGTGTTGCTCGCTTCTTGGAATCACGTGGTATGGTTGAAGATGCATTAGAAGTTGCTACTGACCCTGATTATAGATTTGAGTTGGCCATACAATTGAGTAGATTAGAGGTTGCAAAGGTGAGCCTTTTATAGTTTTTTACCATTTTAGAAATTACGATTTCCATGACTCCAATTTATTGTCGCTCAATTTACATCTTCTGGCAGGAAATTGCTGTAGAAGCACAAAGCGAGTCTAAATGGAAGCAACTGGGGGAATTAGCTATGTCAACTGGGAAGGTGTGTACCTTTTTTTTCTGCTATAGGTGTTCTAGGGTATATTCACCGGTTTAAGTTCATGTATCGCGCTTCCTTAGGCCTGCATGTTCTTACTATGCTTTGGATCACTGTAGTTGGAAATGGCGGAGGAATGCATGAAGCATGCTATGGATTTGAGTGGTCTTCTGCTGCTTTATTCTTCCTTGGGAGATGCAGAAGGATTGGCTAAGCTTGCTGACCTTGCTAAAGAGCAAGGAAAGAACAATGTCTCTTTCCTTTGCTTGTTCATGTTGGGTAGATTGGAGGACTGTCTGCAGCTGTTGGTGGAAAGGTAATTTATTTCTTTTTTCCCTATCTTCAATTAAGAACAAGGTTTGTGCAATCAATTAATCTATCATGATGCTTTTCTCATCGCAGCAATCGGATACCTGAAGCTGCTTTAATGGCACGATCTTATCTTCCGAGCAAAGTCCCTAAGATTGTATCATTATGGAGAAACGACCTTAGCAAGGTTTGTTTTCCGTATTTTTTATATGAATCCTCATTATATATGACAGATGATTCTTTCCATGGTAAAATGTCAAAGTAATTTGTTTAATCGTTTTTTCTTGCCCAGCCGAATGAATTGTGTATTATAGCCTTCATGTGGGGGACGGTTGTTCTTCTTTTGTATTCTTTCCCATCGCGATAGGTTTATGCCATTTTTCCTTTTGTTGACTTATATAATTTGGCTTGCAGAATCACAGTCAAGTCAATCATAATTTTTCCCGTTCCATTCTGTTATTGGAAATCAATGATGAATTATCTAATAAGATTACTGTTACAATAAACTTTCAATTGGTCTAAACAAAGATTTTTTCTTTGTAAGTGGCATTGTCTTAGTATAACAGGCATTATATCTATGTGGTGCCTTTCATCCTGGCTCTTTGGAAGTACGAGTTTTCTTGATTTGGCCTCTCTTCTAACAGGTAAATGCAAAGGCTGCTGAATCTTTGGCTGATCCTGAAGAGTATCCCAATCTTTTCGAGGACTGGCAGCTTGCTCTATCTGTTGAAGAACGAGCTGCAGAGACAAGGTTTCTTTTCATATCTTTTCTTTTGTCCTTTGCTTGGAACTGTTGATTTAGTTCAGGATTAAACACTTTGCCCTTACCTTATTGCTGTAGATATATTTCTTTTCTTTTGAATAGTTCAATGACCTTTTTGTAATTGGCTTCTGTATTTTATAAATTTCTTGTGCAACATATAATTTTATGTTCTTTAACATACAAAATAATCTAAATTTAAAATTTACTGGTGTTGATGTGTTAACAAAATAACAAATACTGCTTCAATTTACTTGCAGGGGTGTCTATCCTCCTGCCGAGGAGTATATTAGCCATGCAGACAGAAGTCACATAACCTTGGTGGAAGCTTTTAGAAATATGCAAATTGAAGAGGAGGAGGCTCTTGAAAATGGGGATGTTCATGAAGAGGTATGTTCACCAAGGATCATATAGGCAGATCATGTTATTCTCCTGTTGTGTCACAACACTCTTGCATGGATACATCTTAGGTGTCTCTATCCAATGAAGGGTATTTCATGTTCAAGATTCCTGTTTTGCCACTGCCATTGCGTTTCCTTTGAAATTTGGGTTCAGCCGGTTGGTGGTGATCAACATGAACATGAGGGAGATGACAGTAACGTGGAGCAACAAAATGGGGAAGAAGGAAGTCAAGAGGAGGCCGTGGTGGTGGATGCTGATTCTACAGATGGCGCTGTGCTTGTTAATGGGAATGAATCTGAAGATCAGTGGGGTACGAATAATGAAGGAACCCCATCAGCCTAATAGCGTTTGTGGCCAAGGGGCAGTGTGAAAATCCAAATTTTGTCTGGTGATTAATTGATTCTTAGATTTTACTCATCTGCCTTCCATATCCACTGCTTGTTGTTGTCATTAGCTTGGCAATGTCATATAGTTATCACATTAAGAGTAATGCTTTCAGTTCGCTCTTAGAGAATGAGCCCGTCAGTTCTTCCTAGTCTTAGGGATGAATGTGCATCTCATCTGCTGTTCTTTTTGAGTGTTGAATTCTCCAGTCTTCGGAATCTGGTATCTGTTTTCTGATTCATGGGTTCGTTCTTCTTGGCCAAGAATGCTTTATGTCATGGTCTCTATGCCCGGGATATTAATCTGTCTTAGGAAAATGCTATTGTGTCTGATGCTCTTTAGAGCTCTTCTTGGTGGTGATAATAGGGAAGGAGCAACATATGAGTGTTGCATCTGTAAGAATCTGTCTGTTTTTGGTTATACTTGCAAGAAGACCCTGCTTTCTTTTACGTCTATGCTGCAAAGGAAGCTGAGTATATGATTCATCATCATCTGTTGTGATTCCTGTTGTATTTTTTTTTTTTTTTTGTATTTGTATTTGGTCTCTGTTGATTCTTGGTCATTGGCCAAAATATTCATATGTTGTTACTGACCATGTGTATTGTGTGTCTGCTTGTACAGTTCTCACACCACAGCAGTAGTTTCAGCAAAGAGGACACATACTGGCTTTGAAGTGATATTCACTTGCCATTCTTCATAGACCACATATGTATAAGAAGCAGCAGCAGCAGCAGCAAACCCCATCAGAGTCACCGGTAAAAACTGTTCTGCATGCATATATATATATAGAGAGAGAGAGAAGGGTATCCATTCATTCTTTGAAACAGAGCCTCGCTTCTCTCTCTCTCTCCTAGTTTCAAACTGGAGATTGGTTCTATTGTAGGTTATCGTTTTCTGCTCGAGTGGTTCAGAACCAGAACAGTGGGAATTTGCATTTCTGTTTTTGTACCCGGGAATGATACTTTAATTTTAAACCACCATGTTTGTCAAGACTTGAGATGAGAGTTAAATCCGGTGCTTCATTTTCTAAAACGTTTGTAGTTTCTAGAATAAAGCTTTGCATGTAAGGTCCCCGAAGGAATATTAATGGGCACGAGTTCTCAGTTTTCTGTAAAAGATTTGGAGGAGCAATTACCATTTTCTTGTACACATTCGATTCTAAAGAACTTCAAATCCTATATAATGTGACTGCATTGTGTTTTTTTAACTAAGCATGTTACCGACTTTTAAAAAATAATAATTTGGAAATTTTTCATATAAATACTTCAATTTTACAAAATATCCTAGACTTTTAATTTTATTTTATTTGATATCTAAAATATTAAAATGGTACAAATTAATAATTCAAAAATTAAAATATTTCAAATATATATCCCAATTTAGGGATAGACACCGGCAGATATACACGAGTTCTAGACTATCCGCCTTCGAGTTTCGGATCCACAGTTTCTGTTGAAAAATTATCTCGTTCTCATACAAGTCGGATATCCGGATTCGAACGTCCGAATATCCGTCTCTGAACTCGGATATCTGGATCCGTCAACTTTTGTTTTCACACAAAAATGTAACATGAATATGAGAATTATAAAGTACGAAATGGATACAAAGTTCTCTACAATTTTTAATACAAACAAAAATCCAAATGCAAATATGAAAATGCATGCAAAGTTCAAATATGAAAATAGCATAAACAGTCTCTTAATGAAACATAAAATCCAGAGTTTGATATTCAACTTGAAATATATGACAAAAATCAGAATCATAAGAACATAAAGAAAACATCGATACTTGATCACAAAACACTCCATCTCTAATCGGATAAATAACCCTTTTGCAAAGATTAAGATGGAAAATCTATATATATAAAAAAGTTATCAATACAAACTTTGTATTACTAAGACACGGCGAATCGAAAAAAAAGAAGAATATGTATTATCGACAAAAAATTAAAAGAAGTAGAATCATCAGAAAAATTCAAAACAAAAGTAAAATCAACCTGAAAAATCAACAAAAAAATTCGAAAAAAAAACATAGAAAAGAATGTTAAAAATAAGAAACCTAAATCGCGAAACAACAAAAAGAACATAGATATTTATCTTTTTGATGGAAACAAAGACGAACAAACTTGAAGATGAATAGATTTAGAAGGAAATACTGTGATTTTTTTGTAAAATGAAAAGAAATTGATAGAGGAAAGAAAGCTAAGGAGAATTGCTAAGAGAAGATGTTTTTCCACACATCATGCTTAGGGTAGAGATGATATTAGGTTTAGCGTATTTTAGTCTTTCTAAATCTAAACGGATTTTTGGGAGTATCAGTGTCTCTTAATTTAAAACTTGTCTCAAACCCGCGGATTGAATTTTTCATCTTATTTTATCTCGTACCCGATCTCATTTGTAAGTGGATATTCGGATCCTAGATATCCATGAGTCGAATACCCGTGAACCTGCGGGTGGCAGATAAAAAGGTCCACACCTATCCCAATTCATAAAATAAAATCGAGAACAATTTATAATCTCAATTCATTTTTTTATGTTAGAATTAACATCTAATTTATATGTAATCGTTAGAATCGAGATTGAAAATTGTTATCGATTTCGCGAGTTTCGTTTTTTATGTCGAAAATTAATATCTAATTTATATGTCGTCACCAAAATCGAGATTAAAAATTGTTATCGATTTCATAAGTTAAAATATTTATTTGAAATATTTAAATATTTAAAAATTCAATTTAAAATATTTTAATATCTGAATTATAATTAGATAAAATTAAAAGTTTAGATTTTTATTTGGTATATTTAGTAAAATAAAAAAATTTATATGAGATTTTTTCTAATGATAATGGTAATGATAATGATAATGATAATGATAATGATCCCTTATGAAATCAAACCATCAAATAAACTTCGGAATTTACTACGGAACTAATAACAATGTTATTCTATTATTACGCCATATAAATATGACGATTGTGTTCCCATATCTGTTAACGCTCGCTCCACTCCATTTTATCGTCGACCCCCAAGATAATCGCGATAGAACGCATCTGAGAGACTATTGGGTTTCCAGAGATCTCATACCTCATGAAACCTTGATTTTGGTTTCATAATTAGGTATGTGATGACTGATGAGTCACACTCCTCGAATCGGCTATAATTAGGGCTTTTGCGGTGTTCTTGTTCGAATTCCCAGCCGTTTCCTTCGTTCGTTTCTTCGATTCTATGGATATCTGTTGATTTTTCGTTTGCTTTTGCCGAAGATTTATTGCGTTAAAGCGAGGAGAGAGGTTCGAAAGATATTTTGACCACGAATCTGCGTTTAGGTCTTTCCGATTGATTGCTTTAACAATTTCCTTGGGCTAGTCTTTGGCTTAGGACGTGGATTCAACTTTCAGGTTCCTTTTGGTTAATATGGCGCCAACCGGCGAAGAAGAGGTGGAGTATGAGAGTGATCCCGAGGAGGTGAAGCGCTCCTTGGCAATGAGGAGGAGAGAAGCGAGTGATGATGACGATGATAAAGCTGATGGGGAGGATGATGCTGGTCGAAGAGGAATTCAGAGGACCGAGACTCATTCGGATGGATCTGATGGCCAGGGGGGTGTCGCTGAATATGACAATGATGATGAAGAAGGATTGGGCATAGATGGTGAAGACCGGGATGGTGGTTTTGATGAAGAGGAGGAGTACATTGAGGAAGGTCACAATGAAGAAGTGGATGATGATAGGGAACGTCTGGTGGGCAATATCAACAGGATGGCTGGCGGGTTTGAGGGTAATGTAATGAAGTCAGTGGATGGTGATAGAACGCACGGGGAAGAGACAATGGAGGAGGGTATGATAGATCTTATAGATGAAGAGGAAGAAAAAGAGAAAGAACCATTCTCTGTGCCCACTGCTGGAGCATTTTATATGCACGATGACAGATTTCAGGAAAATTCCGGTGGCCGACACAGGTATGTATGTTTTTATGGTATCCATCTAACAGCGAATTGCCTATATGGTTCCTTCAACAATTCTGTTTGAAAATAATTTCTATGTAAGCTATCAGCTGATTCTTTGACTGAAGACTTAGTTGAGTGTGCTGCATGAGGATGAGGTAAACTGATTCTGAGGCAGAGTAGATATCATTGGATAGGTGCAGCATTGGCCTTTGGATAATAATGTAATATCATGCGATCCACATGGCTTGTGGTGCTGCTGTTTTACGAAGTATTAGTAATTTAATGAGGTTAAATATATTGTTTTTCGTTTGGTTATCTAATTTATAGATGTGGCCTAGCTACTGCTACAGTGAAAATTTGAAAGCTAGAATACGTTATCATTAACGTCAACAAGCTGATAATTACTTATTTCATTCAATTGTGCATCTCACCAGCCTTTCATCATCATCTATGTTGCATCCTATGTGGTGATCCCACTCGATATATCTTCTGTTTGTTTGCAAGGCGAATGCGTGGTGGAAGGAGGCTTTGGGAATCCAAAGATGACGGAAAATGGGGACATGACAAATTTGAGGAGATGAATACTCGGGACAAGCATTATGAAGTAGTGCTTCAGTCTAATATTTTAAAATATTTTCTTAGTATCTCTCTCTTTTCACTCTCTCTCTCTATATATATATGTATGTAACATATATTTACCTTTATGGTTTTTGTGTTTTTTTTCCATTTCGTTTCCTTATCTTGTTTTAATAAAAATATTGGTTGACTCGTATCTTTCTAAACTCAGAGACGAAGGACTTCTAGGGGCCAATTTAGAGGTCGTGGTCAGACTAGGGGACGAGAACTTGGATACACTAGAGGGAGCAGCTCGAATGCACTCAGCGTCAATGGGAATCAAAACCAGTTTTCTAAAGTTGCCCCTAGAGGGAGAAGGCCCCAAAGATATGAAACTGCCTCGAGAAACGAAAATCAAGCAACATCTGCACAAAACAAACAGTGAGTTCTTAGATGCTTTCTCTCTAATTTGCAGATGATGGTTTACAGTATAATGTTGATAACGTCCGGTGTACTGAATCTGCAGGTCACGGAATTCTCATGAGAAAAATTCGCACCTCGATTCAAGCCGTGTTCCAACAGCCGCAGCTAGCTCTGAGAGTGAAGCTGGTCAGGCAAAAAAGAACACAGTAGCTTCTGGTCTAAATTCAGCTTCTCCTCCATTTTATCCTTCAGGGTCCTCCAATAGCATGGCACAGAAGGATATACAAGTTGGCATGGGAAGACTGCACATGAATGAAAGCACTTCGCCTATTCGAAGGGTATCTGGGAATGCAAAAATGTCTTCTTCTGGGTCTTCACCGGTCAGCACTGATCAGCCCTCTGAGTCCATGAGTAAAGGAAGGGGTGCACCTGCCCCTGGACAAGTGTTTTATCAGCAATCTCTTAACCAAGTTGGCAGAACTTCACCACATATGCAATCTCACGGAGTTTCAAAAGGGAGTGGCCAAAGCTGTCTCCAGCCTCCTGATCAGGCTTTTGATCAACACTCTACTGTCATCAGGCCACTGGCTTCCTCTCCGCCTAAAACAAGCTCGTCAAAAGGTCCCTACCCTTCTGCTGAAATGGAATCTGCCTCAGAAACAGGTGCTTTGGTAGCAATGGGAAAGGGAACACTCCAGCCTAACGGAAGCTCTTTTCTGTATGGTGGGACTGAAGTTATGGGGCCTGCAGGGAGTCTGGCAGTTGGCCATGGCAATCCTAATTTCCCAGCTTTTCTGCCCCGTAAGTGGTTCCTGGATAGCTCTCTTTTTTCTGTAATGGAATGAGTAAAAGGAATCTATCATAATGAAATCATTTATGGTTTGTTGAAATTGGAAACTAACAATGCCAAGCCATCTGTGTCCTTTTGAATGTTTCTGAAACTTACCGTGGTTGCTTAGGTTGGCTCGGTTATGCAGGGTGACTGGTGTATCTTCTCATACTTTTCTGCCTGCTATTACCTTTTTTTTGGCAACTAATTTTAATTTTTATTCACTTTTTTTTGCCTTGTTTATGTGCAGTTATGCCATTTGGTGGCCAACAAGGTGGGGTCCCCACTTTTGGCATGGCCTTTCCAGGATATGTCCAACCAGAACATGGTTTAGGAAATCCCGAGATGACATGGTATCTATATTCTTCCCCCTCTTTGTGACGCTTGTGGATGTTAGTTTTGGAGAGAGTAATTTATGTTGAACCTTTTGATCTGTATATCTATAATTCTTGTAGCTGTAAGTTACAGTCTTGTATTGTGGTCTTATGTACTTTTTACTGTGGTGAATTGTGTTTGAACCCAAAACACTTCCAAAGTGGAATGGCCAGGGCATAAGTTTCATTAGAATGGTCAAGTTAATCATTCGCTAAATCTTATTTCTGTGATTTCACCATCCGTCTATCTACATCAAATTCATTAGATTTTTCCCCTCTCGTACTTGCTTCTAAAATGTGGTTATTTAATTTAAGGCTGCCAATTTTGACTGGTCCGGGGGCTCTAGGGGCTACATACGGTCCACCTTGTGCTGCTATTGATGGCCCTTACCAAGCGTGCAAGCCAGGGCTACCTTCCTCTGCAGGACCTTCCAGGTTTGTAGAATAAATCTCTCTGATGCCTCAAGTGTTTTTAACTTGTGCATCGATTTCTTCTAAAGCCAACAGCACATGCCACTGTATTGCATTAAGGCTCTTTGTAACGAAAGCATGTGACATTAGATTTGCACTTGTGGAAGTTGTTGGATGATAGCTTTTCTACTAAAGCAAGAGAGCATGACACTTGTAGAGTCATATGAGCTTTGTTACCTATTTTTGTAGCCATATAATCTTTGCTGATTATGTATCTCAACGTCAATTGAAGCATTTAATTTTTTGCACACTAACCTGTAACCTGTTACTGCTTTTGCAGCAAAGAGAATGGTACGCAGAAGCCTGATAATGGACAAAAACCCTCGGAGAGACCTGGTAAGTCAATTGTTTGCAACGTTTGGTTATTTGAGGATGGTTTTAATGCTTATACAGTTTGTATTTGTGTTATTTCTTTGGTTGGGGAAGAATCTGCCAAAATCATTATGAGGAAAAATTGATAGAGAAATTGACTCTGTTGTGGTAAACAAGCATGAAGAATGTAATGTGTAATATGGATAGTAGTTAAACGAGATTTAGTCTTGTTCAAGCAGCAGATGCTAGCCAATTGAAAGTATTTTCCTATCAATTAAAAGGTCTTCAGTTTCGTTTGTGTATCACGCAACAAGCATTGTTCAATCAAAAGAGATATTCAACAACTAAAAGAAAAATCAGTTGTTTGGGGTCATTCTAAAGATGTTTGAGGTTGAGCTGCTTCCATCATTTGCAGAGGATGCAAACAATGGGATTCCGCAACGGCAGAACAACCCCCCAAACAAGCAGCCACGTAGGTGAGTTTTTGAAGTTTACTAAAACTACTCTTTCTTTGTCAACGATTAAATGTGGATCGGTAGGAGTCGCCTAGATTTGGTGTCTCAAATTATTAGGTATGTGGTTGGATTCATGTCTAGCGCAAACTGTTTCTTGGATATTTTATATGGTCAATGTGGAAAGTGTTTCCATGGATTTCGTGAATGAATCAATGCAAAACCTTTGGCTATCACGATTATTGAGAAGAAAAAAGAAGAAGATTTAACTGGGGTTGGCATGGGTCTGTTCAGGTAATAACTATCCGCGTATGTGCAGATACTCAGAGATGAGCTTTAGCAAGTGATTGCATGCCTTATGTTACTACCCGAAAGGAGGGTGCGTTGTTTGAATAAGTTGATAGAAAAGAGGTTTATAGAGAGAGCTGTGCAGAGCATGTGGTGCTTCTCCAAGCTGTGGGCCACAACTGTTCCTGGATTTCTTAGGTGAGTGGTCTTCTTTTACTTTTTTGGTTGGTATCTTTAAAGATTGTGAGTTTAATTTGCTTTTTTTTTTTATCAATGATCTTAATTGAAACCACACTAAGGATATGGAACACACAACCCAAACTGTTTTAGGGGGTAGGGGTGCTGTGATATGCTTGAGATAGATGGGATAGGAAATGAAGGATATGATGATTATCAACCAACTGCTTTTTATGGTATTAAAGATGGAAGGTGGAAGCCATATATAACTTTTAAATTTTTGCAGGGTTTTAAAAAAAAATGGGAGAGTGGATGTGGGTGGCTCTGGTGAGTGGTCATTGCTGTGTGTGTTCAAAGTGAAAAGAGCAGTGTGGGGGTCTTTGGAAGGGTCAGTTATGTGTTGTTATAAGGTATGCGAATGAAAAAACAAATATTAATATCAGCATCTCCATTTTCACCACTTGGGGGGGATTGTCTTTGACCATCTTACTTGGGTGTGATCTCTTTTTCCAGGTTCAGGTTCCTCTTCTTGTGTCTTTGACCATCGTGAGTTTCTTTATTGCTGTATGCAAGGTTGAAGACACCACCAAGCATTTTCTATCTATGTTTCATATCCATAATTTATTACTCAAACTGGATCAAAGAGATTAGTACATCTGTTTCTGTTGGAATATATGATGAAGGTAATGGTGATGATGATGATGATTCGTGCAGAGTTAGGGCAACAAGACCCAGATTCCGTAAGCAAAAGCCCATTCTTTTACCCGTCGAAAATTTAGATGAAATACTATTAGTAGACGATCTACTTGTAAATTCAACTACATCTCCATTATCTTATCCTCGAGATGTACAACAATTTTATAACCGAATCAAGCATATTGGAACAATTCACGGCATTTTTGCAAAGGTAATGTTTGGTCGCCTACTAAAATCTATGCATGCATTACCGTCGTTTTTGAGACAACACGATCTATTAAGGATAAAACCAATAAATAGAAATGTAAAATCGCCATTAGAATTTGTAAAACTAAAGTACAAATTGAAATGGAATTTAAATAGTTTTTGTAGGCAACTGAAAAGTTGGGATTTGGAAGCATGCATACTCCAAACGATAATATATAAATATATGGTTAGAAAAATCAATACATGCCTTTAGTACTCCTAGAAATGTTGACTGCATAAGTTGGGATTCGAAAGCATGCATGGAAATGGTTACCCTCAGTCGGGCGATAAATATTATATCACCCACCTACTTGGCTGGACCCAGCCGACTTTATCAACGTCCTCGTTATCTTCTGCTTTTGTTACAAGTAATCAACAAGTTTCAAATTACATGTATATGCATATATATATATATATATATATATATATATATAGTAGCGGACCAATAACAAATTTTAATTGGGGGCATTGCCATATAAATATATATATACCTAAGAAAAAAAGAAATGTTATGAGAAATTAAACTATATTATAAAAAAATTGTGTATATATAAGAGTTGTTGGTCTGGTGGTTGTGGAAGTACAAAGTGTTTTCCACGTTTAAAGTTCGAATCCTAACAATCATATATTATTAAAAAAAATAAACTATACAAAGACATTTTTTTAACAGTATTGGAGACAAATGTCTCCATTGGTTATAACGTAGGTCCGCCACGGTATATATACACACGTTAAAGAAAGGGGCAGCATTCGCTATAAACATAAAAGTAAGTACCATGTGATCGAACTAATTTTTCATCTCTGTATACAGATATAGTTTCAATTAATTAGAAGCAAATCAAACACTTAATTTCTCAAATTAACAAAACTTATTATCACTCATATTCTTAAAGAAATTGTATTAAGTAGGTGATTGAACTTGAAGATAAGGTTTTGGTTACAGTTTAAGGTTTCTCATAATTTATTCTTTCAGCAATAAATTGTTCTGAGTTTGATGACTCAATAGCATTGGTGTAAAATACTTAAATCAAAACGCGGAGCAAAGGTTTCGTATTTTTCCCATTGTTATCACTGAAACTTGTTGTGGGAATATATTCTTTTGGACCATAATTATTATTTACAATTTAAATCACACACATTGTATTCGTCCCATGGAAACATGCAAAAAAAAACACGGGTTCATAGTTTCAAAAGTTATGAAGCCGTATTATATTAAAAAAAAATTCATTATAAATTATCGTATAGGAAATATAAATTAATAAGCTAAGATCACGAGAAGTATATATACATGTGATGTTGATTTCTAGACAGGTTAAGACATGCAAGATATCAACGATTAGTTGTCTAAATTTGAAGAATTGTTGTTGTTCAAATAACAGAAAAAACGATTATTATAACTAACAGGTTTGGACCGACCGAATCGAATCAATTCAATCAATCGATTATTGCCTTTCTTTTCCTCCATATCTTTGTTTATTTTATGTATATAAGATTTTTTTTTTTTTGCCAACACGATTATATTCTGAATTCACGGGTACAACAGAAAAGTACCATTTAGTTCTTTACTTTACTTTTGTATATCAATTTCTTAATCGTCAAATAATATTTTGTTTTACCAAAAAAAAAAAAAAAAATACTCCCTCCCTTTCACAATATTTGACATTTTAGATAATTTTTTATATTACTAATTATTTGTCATTCTAGGTTTTCTGGTCAAAATTTTAAAATAACTTCCATTTTTATCTTTAACAAAAACTAATAAATTCCGATAGATTATTAATGATAATATCAATTTTTGTGTCATTAGAGTGTATATATGATTTTTTTTTGTTTTCTTAAAAAATGTGAAATAAGTTAAAATGACAAATATTGTGAAACTCAGAGACAGTAATATTTTGTTAGCATCAACCAATGAGAGCGCAGAGGTCGAAAAGCAAAAATACTCTGCATGTGAGGTTTATATGTTTTCGACTAGTCAGACAGAGTCTTTATAAAGCATGAGAATATTTGTACCAAAAATCGATAAAATATTAAATTTTAGGTTTAGAAAATACTTCATCTTTAGATTCCCCGAATTGCACTTCTGTTAAATTATTACGGTTCAATGGAAAAATATCAACGTGAATAAATTATTTTTTTGAAAAAGATATGAGCACACATAGAGAATATCATATTCTTAGAATGTTTAGAAATATTGTCACGATCATATTTTCGTGTATAATTTACTTCATATGGCTCAAAATATTTTTTATTTATGTAAATAAAAATGCTCTTATATATATGTGTGTATGTCAATCATAGCTCGTTATCTTTTAAAAAACTAACTTTCACCCTTTTTAACAAAACATTCAAAAAACTGTAATATTTATACTTAATACAATTTTAATTTATAGTTTTTTCATACAAATTCGGAATTTTATTTGAAAATTAATTGAAATCACACACACACACACAAAAACTACGTTCTTTTTTTTAATTAATAGAAACCGTATTATTGGTTATAATTTTACTCTTAAGGAAAATCAAATTTTAATGGGAAACACTCGTTACAGCATAAAGCAAAGTCACAATAATCAGAAGGTTATGACCTCATTGTTTATGAAAAGACGACGGAATCGTATTTGTTTTATTAATAATTCGTTTTAAAAAAAAACGTGACCTTATTATTATTCGTAACTAAAACTAAAAGATTCCAATAACTGGAAAATGATGACATTCGCTCCATCTGCGCATCTTCCCGTAACCAACATTGAAAGGCGCTTCATTTCACATTTTCCATTATCCTAATATCTTGCATAAAATAAATATAATTTTATTTTAGCTTTTTTTTTTATTCTCTGACAAAATACATTGACGGTACTGTTGAAGTGAACAGTTAGTCCTTACCCAACTACTGGTACATCGAATGTCTTTAAGCGCCACGTGTCAATCTGACATTATTCATGGATTCTCTCTCTCTCCCCCCTTCCGTTTCTTCTTCCCTTTATAAATCTTCCCCTCAACGTCTTCGTTTCCTTCAGAGTCCCCCTTTCTCTCATCTCTAAGTAATCGAAGCAGCCAGGGATCTGAAACAGAAGCGAGTTTCAGATAACTAACATGAAGGCAGGTTTGGTCGTGGACGATGGTTATATATACGGAGAAGCGAAGAACTTGACCGTTCGGAAAACGTCTATGTTCTTCGCCGGAGATGGTTTCACCGTTTACGACTGCAAGGGCTCGTTGGTGTTCCGTGTCGACTCCTACGGCGGTCCCGACACCCGCGACAATGACGAGGTTGTCCTCATGGACGCTCACGGTCGCTGTCTCCTGACCCTCAGAAAAAAGGTACGCAAACTATTCTGGAAAAGGGCTGACGCAAAATCGAATTTTGTCGAAAAGGGCTTTCTGGAAATTGGATTTAGAGTGATGGGCTGAGATTTGTTTCTGTTTTTATTTTATATTTTGAGATTTGTAGATTCAAACTAATTATCGTTCTCAACGGTGAAACAGAGGCCGAGCCTGCGGCGGAGGTGGGAAGGGTACATGGGGGAGAGATCGGACGGTCAGAAACCGATCTTCAGCGTGCGGAGATCGTCGGTGATAGGGAGGTGCGGTGCGACGGTGGAGGTGTACGGAAACGGTCGGTGCGAGGAGTATCTGATCGAAGGCAGTTTCCGTCAAAGGACCTGCACGGTGGTCGAGGCGGATACGCGGCGGAAGATGGCGGAGATTCGCCGGAAAGTGGACTCCTCGACGAACGTAATGCTCGGAAAAGACGTATTCTCCCTCAACGTGAAGCCAGGGTTCGATGGAGCGTTTGCCATGGGACTGGTTTTGGTGCTTGATCAGATCAGCGGTGACGATTTCGTCGAGGTTGGTGAAGAGCAGGTGCACCCAGGTTCCTTTTGATTTATTTTTTTCCCACGTTTTTCTTGGGATGGGAAACAAAAACCGAGTGGAGATAATCATAAAAGGTCTTGTCAACATGAGAGGGAGCGAATGGGACAGTGGACCTACTTGTCTTTAAGACATGTAATTGAATTTGATTCACACAGCTTCTTAATCAAAGATTAAGATATGGACTTTTCCGTGTGTATGTATATATGTATTATCAATCATGGAGATAATGAATCGGAGTTACATGTGAAGTGAAAGGAATAATCAGACATAAAGCAAACATCCGGAGGATGTCCCCTCGCGCTTTCATATACATTTGACATTCGAAACCGACGCAATTGGACGAACCATACGTTCGTTACCGACACGTAAAGTCGCCGCCGCAGTATAAAACAGGCAAAGCCGACATCTTTTTAAGTTAGTAGAGATCAGTTTTGGACCATGGCTTTTGGCCTTTTGCCCACGCGGTTCATTAAATATCAACTCCCATTAAGCTCAACAGCCCAAATATATGTGGCTCTCGCCGGTTACTTATTACAGTTTTAATTGACAATTAAGAAAATTATAGAAAATCAACAGAGACGAAACTACGGCTAAAAATATACGGTCCAAGTCCTACTTTACATCAGCATAATACAAAAGTCAATGATCTTTGTTTAGTCCCTAAAGACACACCCTTCAATTCTAAACAACGGACGGACTGAACGACAGAATACAACGACGGCCATAATGTTAATTTCTACGACTCATATCAGACAAAAGAGACTGTAACGCTGCGGTTTAACAACTTACTGAAGCCGGTGGCTGTGGCTAATCTTGATTCTCTTTCAGGTTAACGTTTGAGTCCTCCCCCTTCAATTCTTTCCCTTTCTCTTCTGCTTCCGCCATTGCAGCTTCTGGTTTCTGAGTTTCATCTGCTTTTGCCTCTACTTCTACTGGAAGGTTTGCTTCCCTTTCGGTCACCATCTGTTCCCCGTTTGCTTCTGCTGTAACACTGCCTGCGCTTTCTTCAGTCTTTTCCTCTGCGGGTTTCTCTTTTTCTCCCTCTGTGGCGTCTTCCGGCTTCTCTTTCGTTTCATCTTTGGCAGATTCTTCGGTTCTTCCCTTGCTCTCCTCAAGTACACCCCTTTCCTTCTCAGCCTCAACATTTTCTGTCTCCATTTCATCCTTTTCACCCTCTTTCTTGTCTGTTTCTGCCTCCTTCTCAGCTTCAGCCTTTTCTACCTCTGCAACCTTTTCACCATCTTTGCTCTCATTCTCAGCATCAGCAGTTTCTACTTGATGTGCACCCTTTTCACCCTCTTTGTTCTCCTTCTCAGTCTCGGCATTTTCTGGCTGTGCATCCTTCTCACCATCTCCATTTGCCTTCTCAGCCACAGCATTTTCGGTTTTAACATCCTTTTCACCCTCCTTGTTCTCCTTCTTTGTGAGAGAAGATCTCCGTTTCTTCTTCAGTGGCTCCTTCTCTAGCATTGGAGTGGTAGATGCCTTTGCTTTCTCACTGATCCTTGCTGATCTCCTCGGGGTCTCGCCTGTTGTCCAGTCAAACTCTGAGATTGCAGGATTCCCCGGATGCGCTTTCAGGTACTGCTCCAACTGCTTGCGTGCGCTGATCTCTTCACCCGTCGGGGCGATGAACACTATCTCATTCTTTCTGGGTGTACCCACCTTCTTCGGGTAAAACTGGACGAAGAGAAAGTAACAGAAAGTGATATACAAATGCCAGAAAGAAGAAAACGAAATGGATTCACTCCAAACACATTAATCGTTCACCCAACTCAGCATGAAACTAAGAGAGTTGCAGAACATTCATGCCTGTTTGAGCGAAGAAACGGGTCTGGCTCAGATAACAAAACACGAATTCACCATCTCTAGGAAATGGCACAGAAAGTATTTACTCAAAATTTCTACGTTGAGAAATCAACCACCAACGGTCAGTGGCATTGAACACAGACATAACAAAGGAGCAAAACTTACATCAACCCAACAACTGCTACAGTTTCATTCAGCTTAAGAAGGAATAATTTCATCACAATCCCAATGGAAAGAGAATTGACATCACAAAAGACTGTACGGGAAAATCTCCGAACAAGTACAAAGGCATCAACTTCGATTTTGAAGGACGGAAACCGTCAAACCTCCGGCGAAGCCCTTTCAGAAAAACAATTCCAGTTTTCTTCGGACAGTACTGAACAATCTTCCGACAATTCGGAAAACAGCAGAGCTTATAATATGCAGAAGCAGAGGCAGAGGACTCGTCTCGAGCAATTCCGACGTAATCTATAGGATATCCCCAAAACTTTTAACCACGACAAAGTTTCAGGGCTTAGGCAGAGTCAATTTCACACATTGAGCAGAAACCCTAACTCCATCATCGAGAAACCCCTAACCTCCAAATTCCTAACAAATTGGGGAATCTCCGCATCAAGACTCTAACATTGAACTAAAATGAAATCCCCAAACCGCACAGAGAACAAATACATCTCAGAATTCCCAAAAATTAAACATAAAACCTAGAAACAAAGAACTACACGAGCAAACAGACCACAACGGCTACTTGTGCTCATACGACGAAAATCATAGTAGAAAAATAAAACTTCACAATAAAATTATCATCAAATAGGATTAAAAAGATAGCCTGAATTTGTGGGGCATACCATTTTCTTCCACGAAGCAGGAGCTGGGAGTTCAACAGACACAAGTTCGTCTTTGTTCTCCATCTCTATCTCAGTCTCTCTTCACCTGGAACAAGAGATTACAAAAAAAAAAAGTAAAATAAAATAAACCCAGAAAATATCTTCCAACAAAACCCTATCTTTGGAGATATTTCCTGTTCTTTCCTTTCTGGTAACGAGTTGCCAAGAACCGTTGAGACGCTAATGGATATGTTTGCTTCTGAAATGCTGTAAAATTGTACTTATTTATTCCGTAATCGTGTTTTTTTTTTATAATGAAAAAAAAAAACTGTCTTTCGGGGACGTCCACGTAATCCACTAGAGTGACCGATAAATTCAGATAGGGAGGTACGTGACACATTATCATTTCAGTGACAGACCTCTTTTAACGCGACACGTGTCCTTCACACCCAGTTTTCGATTTTAGTAGAGGTCCGGAAGGACACGTGGCATGTCCACGGAGCTTCTAACTCTAGCGTGAGATGTGGGCCGTAGGATCAACTGGTTCCCTCGCTCCCCGCGCGTCCGGAAACACGTGTTAGAGTTATTGGGAGAATTAACTAACTTTGGTTGACACGTGAGGTTTTAGCCGAGGAAATAAATAAAACTCTTTATTGCGAAGGAAATACAATGTACTTATTTAATATATGAAAATATGATTGTTATTATATGTGCATGGGAATCGATTCATGGGAAATAAATATATTTATGTGTACATATATATATATATATATATCCGATTATATTTGCAAGGTTTTTACTCGTTCACGATATTCCATGAATATTCAGTTTCTGGCCATTAGATCCCAACTGCAGTTTTCTCGATCATTACCAATTGAAGTCGAAGATGGAGAGTACACAGGAGATGTTACCTTTTCACAGGAAAAAAAAAAGACGCATATATATGTGTGTGTGTGTGTGTTGTGTCTTCACACCGACAGGCCAATCTCGTGTCCTTCGAAAACGTTTCGTTAATGGCTTCAGTCATATAAACCTTCCTGTTCCCAAATGTCCACCAAGAACTCAACCATTTCCTGCCACCATAGAAGAAATTATATATACACACACACACACACCAGATTGCAGCGTATATATATGTCACTCCAATGGCAAGAAAACTTACAGAGAGAGGGAGGGGCTGAGGAAATGGCTTGTTGCTTCCGAGCAAGCTATCGTACGACGGATTCCAACTGCAAATCCAGCATAGTTTAGCCATTGCTGACACAACCAATGCTCTGACAAGATAAGCCAACAAACAACTCACCAACCCATTTTGTCTATGTGCCCCTCTTAGCCATCCTAAATGTAATATAACCAAGTGATGGCGAATATATATATAGCCTATATCTAAGATTTCATCAAGGGTTCAGTCCAGGTTCAACCACATCCAATGCAAACAGTTTATCAGCCACCAGGGATTTACATGACCTATCTATGTTATCCAGAGATTAGCCAAGATGAAAGATAACAGCTGATGTCATTGATTATACAAGAAAAAGAGTGCATAAGGTCTATATATCATCCTAATGAGTCGAAACATTCATCTCTGTTAACAGTTCCAGACTGGTGGCATTAAGACTTAATTTACAGCTTCAGAGGAGGAATAAGTTGTAACAATGCGACTCACTTCAGTTTAGGTTCTCGATTGTGATTCACTCGGTTATCGTGTCTTTCCTTCCCAACCCAACGCTCCCGGGTTTGATTCCAAAGAAGAAGACCTGCAGTCATCACAAAGATAAGATCTTGCAGTTTCTAGCGATAAGCAACACACCGTTGGATGTTAAAGCCAATGTGGCTACATATCTGAACCATATCCTATTCCAAAGTTTCTGTTTGTACAAACTGACCATGAATCCGTAACACGAAACCGAGTTGAGTCTGCAATAGAAGCCGAGAAAGTACCGTCATTTACGAATTCAGTCGGAAACCTTGAACTTCTGGCTCCGGCTTGAGAATCAAAGTTCTGGTTGGATGCGCTGATTGATGAAATGCTCCCCTGAGATGGAAACGTGCTGTTGTCCATATCAAACGTGCTTGCCGACCAGAAATCTTCCAATAAACTCGGTCTCTTGACTGCTCGGGATGTCGGCTCGTTCAGAGCAGTACTCAAACTGGGATCTTTATAGCATGACACACAGCCACTGCTCTGTTACAAAACCATACTCTGATCAATGATTCAACAGAATGCAGCCCTGTTAGATTATTCCAAAATTAAAAAGAGAATTGGCTGTTTTGAGTTCAGATGAATGCAATATATGCTACAGAGTCAAAAGCAAGAGCTTCTGCAAATCCTAAAATGTGTAGTTTCATAAACACATCACACAGATTTGCTATCTGTATCTTCAAAAGCATATGGCTACATACATCAGGATCCTGTAGCTATCCGCTTAAATGCATAAATAGAGCAAATAACCTTAAAATCCTAAATTTGTTTGCTGAAAGCAAATTTACCCAACAAAAAACTAGGGTTTATCTACCCCGAATCCAAGTATGAGTATCAAAACCGATCTTAAAGAATCTGCAGAGCCATTAACGATTGGCAACAGCCATATGATTCGCTAGAAAAGTCAACTGCAAAACAAAGAGATGAGATCCCACCCCATCGACGAACCCAGAAGCTCCACAGATCAGGAAGCTCCAGATTTTCAGGGGAAACTCGACGATTTGTCAAGAAAGGCCGACAGATAACCCTAGTCAAAGACGAAGAATCAATCAGCAGATAAATATATGTAAAAAAAAAAGCAATTTTTTAATGAAATATTAAGAAAAATAATAGGAAATGAATGGAAGGAGTAGAAAGGGGGGATCTTTCAATTACGATTCAACCAAATTGGTTCATTGTTCAATTGGGTATCGAGAAAATCATCTTTTTCTTATTATTGAAGAATCCGAGGCCACAACCCCTCTGATCATACAAAGTTTCAGGAACCAGAGAAGGTTTGGCCTCTACCTTTTTTTTTTTATTTCCTGTTTTTTTTTTTCTGCTCTTCGTTCCCCGCAGCCGTTATACGGATGCCGTGTCCCTGAGGATATTTTCGTAAATTGTATGTTAGTTAATAATCTTAAACAATTTTTTTTTTTATTAGGCGCATTTATCCCATAACATGCATGGATTGATTTGGACCATTCTACTGATAATGTGGACAGCGAATGCACCCACTTTATTAATTTATGGGCAAACCTAACATTTTGTATTTTGGGCCAATATACTTTATATTTTTCACTTTAAATAATTCATGGGTTGAGCAACCTATTCTCACAATTGTGTATATATAATATGGGCTTAGACCAGACTGTGGGCCGACCCAGCTCCACTTGAAACTGATGTGGGCCTCCATCTTTTCCTGTTTTGGTATTTATAATATTTCTATTTTACCCTGAAAATATATCCAATATTCCTCCTTATTCTCTAGGTTTATTATGCACCGCTAACAATGGAGTTAAAGACAGGTAGAAAAACTCAACCCTTTAGCAGTTTTGCATGAATGTTTTTTTTATAATCTAGGAGTTTTTAGAATATTTAAACCAACTACATCTTCTAAAACCGCGAATCCCATATAGATGTTCTCTCCAAATGAATTCGGATTAACTCGAATCTGAATTAATAATAAATTTTTTTCTATATTTACCAATTGAATCATTTAATCTTAGATATTTTACATCAATGTTAACTTACAAAACATATAATTTTTTCATTAGACCTACAATAAAAATTTGATACATTTTTATTTTTTACATTAGAGTGAACAGTTGAAAACCAGATCTTCTTAGGAAAATATTCTGTAAGGTATAATCTCTCTATATCCATTCAACTATTGGTGATCAAACTCATTTTGGGTTTAAATGGATGCAGTTTTTATTTTCAGTTGTTTACTTTAGTTTTAAGTCTTTTGGTTTTTAGTTTTTGTAGTTTTTACAGTTTTTATAAAATTTGATTAGTAAAAATAATATCTTAATTTCTTATTTTTAGATTTTATATTTAAAATTTACCAAAAATGGTTTTTAGTATTAATAATGAGTATTTTATGTTTAGAATAATTTATATAATTATTTTTTTAATAAAAAATAAAAAAATACTAACAAATTAAATTTACATGAAAAACCTACCCAAAAAATGGTTTTTACTTTATTTTTAGTTTATCGGGGTTTTTTAGATAACAAAAATGGGAAAAAAAGTTTATAGAGTCAAAAACTTTATCCAGTCAAGAAGGCCATCATCATCTCTCTGATTGAAATATCATTAATTCTCTAGAGATTTCTAATGTTGTCTGTTTTACCAAATTCAAGCCAGAGTTTAAATTCGGATGGACTCTTTACTCTAAAAAACATGCAATCAGTGGGGCATGTGGGGTTCAGTACGAAACAGAAGACAAAGCAATCCACCTAACAGGGACAACCCACAAGTTGCAGAGCACCAAACACAGAGACCCACGTTCTTGTTTTTTTTTTTTAATAAAAAAAAGGATCATGTTCTGTCTCTCATGTTCTTGCACTGTTTTTTCCTATCTTTCTTCTGTGTCTGATGGTGAAAACCAATCGAAAATGATGACTCGTGTGAAAATCTGAGGCAAAGATTCCTTCTTTCAACTTGCTGTGACTGCTACTGGCCCGTTTTTCATCGGATCTGTTTCTATGTGACAAAGGAAAAAGCCTCCTTGACACTTGGGCAGATTTGAGACCGTTGTTCTTCATTTTTGATGCCCCACCTCCTGTTTGGTACACTACTATATCATATTTTTTTCTGTGCTCTGGAAAAGATAAGGGCAAAGAAATTTCTTTTGATTTTGCTCAAAGCTAGTGCTTTGCTTCTGTCTGTCATCAAGGAGATTTGCTTGCTGATGCTTGAGAGATACGTTCTCAGGTTCGTCCTGCAAGGAAAAGGAAAGGGGAAAGTGCACAAAGCGAGTTGAAGCCACGGATTTAAAGACAGACAGACAAAGACCTTCATGAAAGAATATGTTGATGGTCTGTGGCTTGAAAGTTGCAAACTTTGATGTATTCTGTGGTGGGCTTCGCCTCAAGATCCGAATTTCGTGTCTGGTTTTCTAAGGAAGCGGAAACAGTCTGAATCGGAATTCTGGTTGCTCTCCGGTGTACTTATCTTAATATGTTCGAGAAAAGTTTGTTCATGTCTCTCCAGACTTTCACCAGTCCATCTCATGTCGGATCTTACCGGAATTCATGTAAAACCAGACTGAATCCTGTCCTAGCAATGCCACACTCTTCAATTCTATTGCAGACGGATGAAAGCAATGATCTTCCAAAGCCCAAGAAAGGCTCTGGTCTGAGCGTAGATCCACGAAACATTCTCAACAGTCTTCCTGCAGATTCTTTGATCAGGCAAGCCAACACAGTGGGCATAATCGGAGGCGTCTCATCCAATTCTACTCTCAGCTTTCTGAAGAAACTCGTGGAGTGGAGCTCGAAAGACGGGAAAAGCCCCTTGCCGTATGTGCTCTGTTCGGATCCAATGCTGAACAACGAGCTTCTCTCTTACGAGAAGTGCTCGTTTCCATCTCTGTACCACAGAACAGAGACTGCACCTCCAGATCCAAACCTGATAGTGGAGAATCTCAGGAACAAGAGGAGATTTCTTGAGAAATCCGGAGCTAAACTGATATTGATGCCTTGTCATATTGCACACAAGTGGTATGAAGAGGTTTCTGAGGATAGTTCGGTTCCTCTGCTCCACATGGGTGAGTGCGTGGCTGAAGAGCTCAAGCAGGCAAAGATGAAGCCTTTAGAAGCTGGAAGCCCTCTGCGAATAGGCGTGCTCGCTTCAAACGCAACATTGTCTGCAGGGTTCTACCAGGAGAAACTCCAGAGCAAGGTTAGTACTCTGTCTTTAATGTCATGAAAAAGCTCATCTTGAGGTTCCACTGTTCTGTCGGATTTACCGGTGGAACACCTTAGCATCTGGGTGTCTGAGGGGTGATTGGCTATTAGGCAAAACCCGCATCAGAATTCCAAACATGAAACGAGAAACTGATCTGGGTTGCTCCAACAGAAAGTGGGCATTAAGGATCTAGTGCTGCAATCTCGGAAAGATAATCAAATTCTGGAGCCTTTGGGTGAGTGACTTGACTGAATTGTGTGTGGGAATGAGCAGGGGATGGAGGCGGTGCTTCCGGACAAGGCGACGATGGAGCACACGGTGAATCCGGCCATTGATGCGATGAGCCGAAAAGACATTGTAGGAGCTCGGAACCTGCTAAGAATAGCGTTGCAGGTGCTGCTGGTTCGGGCGGTGAACACAGTCATCTTCGCCTCCGACGACATGAGAGACCTCTTCCCCAGGGACGATCCTCTCCTCAAGAAATGCGTCGATCCCATGGACGCTTTGGCCAGATTCGCCGTCAAATGGGCCGCCGCCGCCGCCGAAGAAGATCCCTGAGCACCACTACCCTCGTCGAAAGAAAAAAACTGCCGACATTTCGTGTTGTCGATGAATCGAACCGATTCTGTGTGACGTTTCCGCGATTGGGAAACGGGCTCGTGTGATAGCAATTGGAAGTTGGGCCTTAGGCCCATTAAATATAGCAATTGGGCTTTTGGTGGTTTAGATGTAGATAAATGTTAGGCTGTGCGCGTGGGTTTATTTTTTATTCAGTTTTGGATAAAAATAAAAAATAATACTTATTTTGTAAAAAGAATAGTGTTCATTCGGCCAAAGGCTGACAAGTCAACCAACTGAGACGTTTCTGCTTATAATCTGTGAAGCAAGCTGCAAAGATCTAAAAATTTAAACAAAAAAAAAAACTCAGGCTTTCGAGTATCCGAAGCCAAAAAATGTACCAGAAACCGTTCCAAAAATCTTTTTTTTTTTTATTCCAGTAAGATGAGTCTTGAATCCGAAGATGACCGGGTCAGTGATGGTGGTTGTCATCCCCATGCCCATCAGGGGGTCCCCCAGGGCCGACCACTCGAAGCTATCAGCATGTTTTGGTAAGGAATTGCAGATTATAAACATATCTACGGGTGGCTGTATGGATATATATATATAATATATATGCATATCAGAGTAATGTTATTTTCTGCTTACCTCAAAGTACTGCGAACACACAGGGCATTCAAAGGGCTTGCCTTTCTCAAGCCAAAACCAGACGACGTCATGTTCATCCTCTGACAGTTCACAACAGTAAAGGACCCATGATCTAATCCGATATCATCATTTCCATAGGCGAGAACTGCGGGTATTGATGGAGAAATGAGAAAGGAAAACAGGGTACCCACCTCCTTCACCTCCGGGGCATCCAATTATCCTCTTGTCATAGTAGGACTTGACAACAGCAGGAACTTCCTGCGGTCCAGGAATCAAGTGAGCATACACGACAATCATCAGTCAATGAATGCAATTATATTATTTTCAAGATCATACGACATATCAGTAGAAACATCACAGCTCCACTGGGCAAAGATACATCATACAATAATAAAACAAGTTTGTTTGTGTTTTCCCAGTTTTCAACCGCACTAACCTTTGTTCCGAAAGGGCCGGTGGGGAAGTTGATATCAAGCAGCTCCCTTCCCTGTGAGACAAAAACCAGAATTATAATCAAGTTCCATAATCGAAAGGTTTGAGATTTCAGTTACTTACATATTAGAATCTTCAACCAGTCATGCAAATATATATGTCCATACCATGATTCCACCTCCAATCATTAGATAATCATAATCTCATCAACTCAATACTCTTCTCTCGGAATGGCTTTTCACTATAGTTCATGTAATCAAATCTCATTCAAATTTCAAAATCAACAATTACAAAGAACAATCACCTCCAACTCGGCATCTAGCTCCTCTTTCTCGTGCCCAGTGGCAATAGGCATCACATCTTCAATACGCTTCCTCACAGCAGTATCCGCTGGAGAAAAAGAAAAACCATTGCGTTCAGAAACCGAGACGCAAATTACAAAATTCAATCTCACAATCCAACAAAAGAGTCTATAACACGCATCCATTGATTCCATTAGTCCATCACCGCACAGACCAGCGAAAATCAACGACACTGAAAACAACCATCGGCCTAGATCGAAATCGGGGGTTTACCTGAAGCAGAGCTGGTTTGGCGGACCAGTATCGAAGAAGAAGCGGAAATGGAGGATGCACGAGTCGAGAGAGAAAGGTAAGAGGACTCTGCGACGGCGTGACCGCACAGCGGCGCGGCGCGGGAGCCGGCGGCGGAGGCGAGGAGTTTGATCTGCGGTGGAAGGATTCTCTTCCACATAGCGGTGGCGATTCTCCGGAGATTTAGGGTTTTCGTTGGGATCACACTCAGGTCAAGACCTGTCTAATTTTCTAATCCCCGAGCGCTTGAAAGGGAAACGAACGGAAGAGAGAAGACTGGGTTAATTTCCGGCACGTGCCATATCTATATTGCCTATAGGAATAAATAACCCATGTGAGAGAGGGTTAATTTCGTATAAAAAATAAATTCATTACATCGAGATTTATCGGTCTAAAAAAATATGGGGAAATTGTGCAAAGACATATCTTATTATTAATTATAAAAAATATAGGAACAGAAATTACATTGTTTATAACCGTTGTATATTCAAGTCCATCGCCGTCATCAGAACCCAATTTATATGTATTGGATCAAATCCTAAAAGTAGACTCGAGTTTTTTTTTTTCAACCTCGGAGACTACGGACAGGAACCAGCCTGACGTCATCAATGACCGGACCACAGAGCGAACCGGAGTGGTCGCTCTTGGTATGATAAAACGTGCTGAGAAAAGTGACACGTGTCCTAGCCGAGATGGCCTTGAACATGAGTCGAGCTGGTTTGGACCCTCCTTTGCCACTGGACACGTAATCAACCGAGATCCTCCCCCGGCCGGCGAACGCCTCGACCGCCATCGGACCCTCGCAGGAGTTACCGGCGTCACCGACGGCGAACGTGAGCTTGTAGAACTTGTTGGGCGTAGTCCTCACGATCTGAGCCACCGAACTCTCTTTTCCTCCGACCAGCTCGATGGCTCGATGGCCCTCTGGTACGGCGAAGTGGGCCTTGTCCACGTACTTGACCGCCTTCAACGACTCGACGATCCAACCGGGCAAGGCACTGTTATCGTCCTCGATGAACGGTGGGATCAGGACCCCCCATTTCACATTCGGAAACACGTACGGCCCTTCCTCAAAGTTACCGTTCTTTATCATATTATCTGAAAGTTCAAAGCTTTAACCATTTCAGCACTTCTGTCTGAGGATTTCGATAATGGGACTTGATCAGTGGGTAGATTTCGGAAAAAAGTTAAGTGGGCATGACTTACTTCTCAAGAATCTTGGAGGGGACAAGGCTTTAATGGCGAGCGAGTCGATCAAGGGTCCACAAGCAGGATCCTCCTCTAAACCAGGGTTATGGATTCGGACCTCGATATCGGGTCCACCGGCCTTGAACGCCCAAGCGTACGAGTCCCAGCCGTTGCTGCTGTACATTGTCTGGATCGGTATGATCCCCGACTCATGCGTGACCGATATGTTGAGCCGTTCCTCCTGAGCGCAGGTCCGAGCCGCACTGAACGTGATGGAGTAGAACTGGCCGGTTCTGACAGATATCTTTTGGCGGATGGAGGCCTCATTGCCCAACCTGACCGCAGACGAGCCCTCGGGCACGACGAGAAGCATGTCGCCTTGTGTCTGACCGGCTTTTATGTACTCTACATAACCCGAGATTTCCCACTTCGGTATCGCGGCACGGTCCGTGACCAATACGCCCTTCAGCTGTGACGATTTTGGACCAAGCTCGAAATTGCCATTCGGTAATAGACCTGAATAATATAACGTCAACCGTTTTATATTTATATAGAACTTATAATATAATGCGGAAATTGATAGAAGAAATTGGACTCACCGTCACGGATGGGGACCGAGACAGCGTTCGAGAAGAGAAACGCTAACAATACCAAGGTTTTGTACATTGTGATGTCTTTTCGAAGAATTGGTGGGGGGGAGGACTTGGGTTTTATGAGATTCAGCTTTTAAGAATGACACTTGTTTTGGACAAAACTACGAGAATGCCACTGGAAGCATCCTGGGCTCTGTTGTCAGACCAGACGCCACGTATACACACAGACAGCTCAGAAAACACTTCCTTCACGATTGGGATTCGATTAAATATCTGTTTAGCCTGTCTCCTGATTTAATATCGCAAATAAAACTTTCCATGAATTTTAATTAGCCTATCCCACGGTCGTATTTAATGCGTCTGTAATTTTATATGTGATGTAAATTGAAGCTACTGAAAACACAACCATAAAATCATATTCGGGTAAAAAAAAAAAACGTGTGTCTAATACATTATAATCATTGAATTTACGAGTCCTGATATAATTTGCAATTGTATCATAAACTACTGATGTAAGTAATAAATTTGTCTAGATGTCGAAAACATATTCTCAACAAAGTCAACTCTGATAATATTCGCACTCATTATGTGTTTGTTTTTAAATATGAAATTGAATTTAAATGCGTAAGAAAATGTAAATGTGTAGACGATGCAACGTTCACATGATCTGGGGGATTTGGTTGTTTTCTGGTGCAGGTACGACTGCAACCGACTCTCAATCATATTACAAAAAAAAATATATCGTAATAAAATGTACCAAAGAATGATATAGGATAATGATTAATTGGTATCTGAATATATATGATTCTAATGGGAGTGACAAGACAACATAACACCCAGATGTGCGTTGATATATTGTTATTATTATAAATATGTATGTGTTGGCATAGAGGGAACATTAAGTATTTATTTTAAATTGAATCATGCATGCATGCATGCCCATGTGACTATATTTATATAATTCTACATCCTGATATTAAAATTAAGCTATCCAAGTTTTATAATAAGATCACGTATAACAAAAAAGCACCCTACACTTGTGTTGCATGTAGGGCTGGGCACAAATACCCAAAAATCGGGTATCCGTCGGATACTCGTCTCATGGATACCCGATTTTAGGGTACTCATAATTTTTAAATCCGAATCCAAATCCTGATTTTTTAATACCCGTGAATCCGGATCCAAATCCGGATAATAGAATTTTTAAAACCGGATACCCGCGGGTACCCGCGTATTATGATTATAAATAATTATATCTTATATTTATATAATATTTTTATAAAATACAATTATTTTAGATGAAATAATTTCATATTTTTTTAATATTAATTCAAAAAATTTAAATTTATTATTATTTGTCTCTTATTATCTCTTTTGTCTTATATATTTTATCATAATTCAACAATTTTTATAAATATATCTTCATGTTTTAAAAATTTTATATATGAATATTGTTGTTTTTCTTAAATAAATCCGGATCCGGATATCCGCGAGTACCCGACTATTATTCCGGATACCCGTACCCCGGATACTCGTAAATACCAAATCCCGGATACAAATCTCATAGTTAAATACCCGAGCCTCCCGGATCCGAATCCAAATCTCTCGATTTTCCCGGGTATCCGACCCGTGCCCACCCCTA